CCTAATATGAATTTGGAATTATCTTCTTTAAAATCTCAACTTTCAATGATAACAAAAACAGGCAAATACATGTAGTATAGCCAAAGAGATTTTATTACAAGTTCATACATACGAAGTATAATGCGAAAAGACTTTTTCCCCAACCTAATATGTTATTTTCCACAGACTCAATAAATTTTTGTTTATGTAAAAATATAATCTAATCTGTGGAACATTCTATTTACTACGTTTCTGGGATCATTTACAATTCGAATTAATTGTATACTTAAAATTAACCCAATAATGATTTTTATATATCTATATAGTTTTATAGCAATCAAAGCCAATAAAATGTGAATGTAACCTACCTCCAGGATAAAATAACAATAATGAAAGGATATTTCAAAGGAGCGGTCTCGGGGTGGACGGGTAACGGAAAGCCTGTAGCTATTAAAAACTTATTAAACCTCATCTCGGCCAATTACGCTCTAGTTCCAAGCACCCTTCAACGGAAAAGTTAAATGTAATCATACAAAATTCTCATCAACGAAACGATGGAATTTAATTTATATGGTATGTGATTTATACTTTGGGAGACAACTTTAAGGAGTGCTGGTAAAGGGCTATGTTATCGAGTATCGCCTGAGCTTGAAAATTGGTTTTGTCAGAAATCGAACCCGGATCAAATACCAGGTCTAGACCAGTATAGGACTATATCCTCGGGCTAAACAGCAAGGTGGTTTGAGTTTTGGCAAATGGAATTTATTTATCACATTCAATGATTTATAATTTGTCCTCCCACCACAAAGTTTCAACTATAAAATATATAATTCTTTTTTCAACCCTAGTCCTAGCTAAGGTTCTGCAATATTCGAACTTGGAACGAGACACGTCACCGGAAGCGGCCGGCCACAGGAAACCACGACGTTCAGCGTCTGCCTTCTCTCTGACTTCGACTTATTTCTTTGGACGTAACTTGAAGACTCAAACTTGTCACAATATTAATTTATTTTATCAAAACAACATTTTTACTTTACTTTTATGGTATCTTGTTTATTTCAAACAAATTTAAACAAATTTTCGAATTTTTTTGTTCAATTCCAACAATTTGACTCTTTTCCCCGCCACCTATAAGGTAGAGTAGGCGCGTTTTTTTTACGTGGCATCCTCAGTAGACCTATTCTACAAACAACTTGCTGATGAGGTAATCTTCGACATAATTATATTATCAATCAGTTATTAGAATGGGGTAACTACCATTTTACTCTTCTTCGATGGTTTAGGTTGTGGCTCAGATCCTAATTCAATGACAATCAGGTTTTAGACGTAAATTATTTGATGATTATGTATGTAAGTATGTATATGCGTTGCTGGTTAAAGATAGGACTGTAAAACAAACAGGCTTTAAACACATTTCACGTAAGATAAACTACAATTTTGATATCAAATCTTAAATATATTTTTAATTAGTCAATTTAATTTCTAAATTTGTCTCGTTAATTGAATCAGTTGCTACGGAGGGAGCAATCGGAAATCTACTTTGCACTAAATGTTTTGAGGGGCTTCTAGCATTGCTTAGACTGTATGTGCCTGAATAGTATTTCAGATCCCGGAGCCCTGCTGTCTGATTGGAGCAACTGTCCTCCGCAACAGACACCAATTCCTCTTATGATAACGCCAAGCAAACCAAGGAAAGTTTTGCACCAGAATATTTGTGACATGTTTGCGACGACGGATTTTAAGTAGAATATATAATAAAACTAGTGGACCCCACAGACGTTGTCCTGCATGATATTTAAAGCGATTAGGATATTAAGCAAAGTATGAAAGTACCGACTGCGTGCCGTCTGCCGGGCTGGTTTGGAATATAAATAATTCCCAAACCCCATGAACGCAAAAATTTCATCAAAATCGGTCCAGTCGTTTAGGAGGAGTTCAGTCACATACACACGCACACAAGAAATATATATATTAAGATGATGCAATTAGTTTATGTACTAATATTTTCTTTAAAGTATACATTTGGCATTTCAGTCAATCATATTATTTATTCTAATCATAGAGATTTTCACCCGTCAATATTAAATCGAGAAACATTTGCCACGTGTCCCCAATAACAGATGAAAGACGTATAATTTACTGTGAGCGCTTATTACGCTTGTGAAGTATGGGCGGGCATGGGCGGAGCGCGCACATGTCCAAACAAATGTTGCAAATTGTTGATTTTTCATCAATCTATGTATTCAATGAAGAGGTCTAATGAGGACTGGTTGAGTGTTTTATACTCTATTGATAAATAACGCAAAACTAGTACTGACTGGTTGTAAATATTGTTCGAATTTTTTTTTATAAAATTGGATACCTTCCTAATACCTAAGGGAAAGAACTATGATTCAAAAATGAATTATCCATATTCCATTAGAGTAAAGTTGGATTTAGATGATTGTTTTATAGAAACAGAAACTTATTTATCTTCGAAAAGGTTAAGGTTAAAGGTTAATAATAATACTTAAAATCTAGTGTTTAGTCCTAAAAGAGTTGAAAAAATTATGCAGTCATAATCCATTTCATTACCTATATATAAATATATAGTAGAGACTGTAGAAGTACACGTGTGTGTGTTAACGAAACTCTGTGTTAAGACATATTTTTTATCATAAAACCGTAACCTTTGTAATATTATTCTAAATAAAATGCAAACCATAAATTGCTGCCAAACAAATCGGTCTATTAATCGAGGATTTTGAGATATTAGAGGATTTTGTGATTTTTCACGTACTATTTTGTTGCATGATCATATAGTTTCTGCAAATATATCCGACGCATATCCTAAGCAGTGACGACTTGAGTGAACACATGTATACTTCGATCCTTATTTATTCAATTTTATTATTTTAATTTATTTATTATACCTGTGCACCAATGGACTTTCTTTCTATATGCGCATTTAACATTCAACCGAACGGTGAAGGAACATCGTGAGGAAACCAGCTTGCCTTAGACCCAAACAGTCGACGGCGTTTGTCAGGCACAGGAGGCTGATCATCTACTTGCCTATTAGATTGATAAATGACCATAGAACAGAAACAAAAATCTGAGACCTAGACCTAAAATGGTTGTAGCGCCACTGTTTTTTTTATATATGACTAGCTGATCCGGCAAACGTCGTTTTGCCATGTATATCATTTATAATAAAAAATAGGGGTTGATCGTTTTTTTTTTTAGGGGTTTTACCCCTTTCTATATTAGGGGTTGTATGTATTTTTTAATGCTGTATCATAAAAAAATAAAAATAATTTTTTTTATCAAAAAATTAAAAAAAATTAGGGGTGGACTACCCTCAACATTTAGGGGGATGAAAAATAGATGTTGTCCGATTCTCAGTTATACCCAATATGCAACACAAAATTTCATGAGAATCGGTCAAGCCGTTTCGGAGGAGTTTAACCACAAACACCGCGACACTAGAATTTTATATATTAGATTTCAAACAATACATTTTAGCCTATTGAAACTCGTTTAATTTGTCGAACTAAAATTGTTTTATAGCTCTAATGCGCGAAACTTATATTTTCAGATGCGTAAAGTTTGCATGTATATAAATAAGAATAATACAAAAATATTCAAAGTCCGAAACATTTGTGTCCGAAACTCGATATGTCTAATTTATTCATAAAGTTTACAAAGGGGTTGATAGTATAATTCACTTGCTCAATGAAAAGTATATCTTTGATCTTGGAATGTAATGTACCCTTCATTTGAACATTCAAATGTGGTTTACCAATTTTTTTAATACAGATGATAATATCATTCATAATATTATTATGAATACGCAAATTAAATTGTTATGAAAAAGGATTTGTTGTTGGTTTTCAAGTTTAGATATAAGAGGTATCTTTTGTTAATATAAAATAAATCAGTAGCGCTACAACCTTTTTTAGCGCTGGGCCTTAGATTTCTGTATCTGTTTCATGATAATTTGTCAATCTAATAGGCAAGTAGGTGATCAGCCTCCTGTGCCTGAGACACGCCGTCGATTGTTTGGATCTAAGTCAAGGCGGTTTCCCACGTCCTTCACCGTTCAAGCGAATGTTAAATGCGCTTATAAAAAGAAAGTCCATTGGTGCAAAGCCGGGGATCGAACCTACGACTTCAGGGATGAGAGTCACACGCTGAAGCCACTAGGCCAACACTACTCTTCTTTGTTAATGTATCATTATTAAAATCTTAATTTTATAACTCAATGAGTTATGTTGAAGACTGAAGTATTATTGAAATATATAACTAAGTATAATTTCAAATTAAGATAGATAATACTGATTGTATTAATGTTTGATATTTTCAAATCTATCTATAATTACATATTAAAAATAAACCCTGATATGGTCAGAACCAAACGAAAAATTTTCGATGAAAAAAAAAACATTCGGAAATTTGAATTTAGAATCATAGACCCACACTTTTTACCATTTGTTCCCAGCGGTAAAAATTGTTGCCCATAACTAAATCATTAGCTACAACCTTTGCAATTGAGTCGTAAAAAACTTGGCATTGTTAGCAAAATAAAACTGACACCCCTAACAAAATCGAAACGAATTTAACGCCACCTCTCGAGTTAAAATCGATATTGTATAGGTAACATCCGAGCTTTGTATGGAGTTATTCTTATATGTCCCTGACAAAGAAATTAATACTATAAATATTATCCAAATGTTATGATACATGGTAATTATATCAATTATAAATCATTTTCGATTATTGGAGAGAGATTCTAAATGATTATATTTAAAATATTAAACAGGAGTTACGTTTGGAATATTTTATTAATTGCTCATCTTATATGCCATTTGCAATTCACTCTAGTGATAGAAGATAAAACTTTACGCCCAAAACCATTACAACATTAATGAACCACTTTAATATTTAGCATCCGTCACATTTTTATTTTAGCAGATTTACCTCAAGAAGTTCATACGTGATTTAGTGTTTTGTAGAACAAAACATGGTACAATGCATAAACTTTAAACGCAAGAACGGCGAGAAGCCATGGGGACAATAAAACAAAGAGGAGCGCTTGTTGCCCGAAGCGGTGAGACGCACCCCAACGTGTCAAATCCCACCAATGAGATACGAGACAGGGGTGTAGCCCCGCCCACCGCAGCTCCTATTCCCACCCTATAGCCGAGCTTCGCGGGCGAGTGGGACACAGCTTCCCTACAAAGATTCCACATCGATCACTGATGCGGGAGCGTGGTGTTCTCTCGAGGGCGGTTACGTGACCTCCTCTCGCGCAGTCGCGGACAATTAGTGCGCGGGGCGGCGTATCCGTGCTCCACGTCACTATAATGTGGTTAGTCAGTGAGCGTCGGGGCCGAGCCGACGGCGACGGCGAGCACGATATTAGAGGTGCGGATCCGCGCTGCAATTTTAGCAAAGCCGGCAGCACGGTGGAGTTTAAGAGCGGGGCGTGCGCGGGGGCCGGTGAGCCGCCCGCGCCGCCGCTAGCATCGCTGCCCGATCCGCAGCAATTCAACATCTTCCCGGCCTTTTTCAGCCGCCAGCTGAACTTTAGCAGTGGCGGTGGCGCGGGACAAGGGGCTAAAATCATGGAGGAGCTCAGACCCAACTTGGTTGGGGGGCTTCTGGGTGTCCCGGGGCTGTTGGACGAGCATCAGCACGATGCTAAGTTCCTCACGGGTGCAGAAAGTAAATATACACCTGATAAGGGGAGAAAGTGCAGTAATGCCTCCAGTTCATCAGCAGAAGAATTTGGTGGGCTGTATGGTGGGGAGCATGCTGCTACGCCGCCAGCGCCAGCAATCAGTCGTTCCCTACAGGACCACTCAGGTACTTAGTTTTTAGACCTACTAAACTCCCAAGCGACTCCGCATACTAAAAACTTCTTGTTACCTATATTACCCGATTCCTGTAAATACTATCGACAAAGAGAATAAAGGATCAATCAATAATCCTGAATAGTATATTAGTTTGATTGGCTTTAAGGTAAATATAAAACCTGCATAGGTATTTTATACTATACCTATCTTCTTCCTAGACGACATTATGATACAATTACATAATATGTAATAACATAAAGTCCACACACATTTATTATGCCAACCTTATAATCAATCAAAAACTAAGCTAATCACTATATGTTCCTTAATTTTATGATTTACTAATATTAGGTCCTTACATATGAAATTGGCGTATTTCGTACTGGCCACTTTAATCACGATGTTCTCCTCTTTGTTAAGGAATTCCAAATTCAAATTTGTACAGCTATTTACTCATGTATTTGTGCTTCGATGACCGTCATTCATTTGTTTTTTTTTTTGTTTTTTTCTGTTTGCGTCACTCATTTTACAAAATGGAAAACTTAAAGTATCGCATTATTTACGAGTACGACTCGAAGGGTGAATGATGTGTATAGCGGTCATGTTGCAAAAGAAAACACAGTTCGTTTTTGGTTCCAACGTTTTCGTTCTAGAAATTTCGATCTGCAGAACAAGCCCCGTGGACGGCCTGAGACCCAAGTTGATAATGAAGTATTGAAGGCTATTGTGAAGCGGATCCATCGCAAACCACGTCCGAGTTAGCTGCAGGCTGCGGTGTTAGTGATAAAACTGTTTTAATTCACTTGAAGCAAATTGGGAAGATTAAAAAAGCTTGAAAGATGGGTACCTCACGAATTGACTGAAGCAAACCGGCAAACGCGCGTCGACTGCTGCGTTACATTACTGAACCGGCACGATAATGAAGGTATTTTAAACCGAATCATTACCTGTGATGAAAAATGGATTCTTTACGATAATCGGAAGCGCTCAGGGCAATGGTTGGATCCTGGCCAGCCAGCCAAATCCTGCCCCAAGCGAAAATTAACCCTAAAAAAGTTACTTGTAGCGTTTGGTGGACTAGTGCCGGTATTGTTCATTGCAGTTTTCTCAAATCTGGCCAGACTATGATGGCTGATGTCTATTGTCAGCAATTGCAAACCATGATGGAAAAGCTAGCGGCTAAACAACCTAGGCTGGTCAATCGCTCCACGCCACTGCTACTTCACGACAACGCTAGACCACACACTGGACAACAGACGGCTACCAAATTAGAAGAGCTTCAATTGGAATGTCTAAGACATCCTCCGTACTCCCCGGACCTTGCTCCAACAGATTACCATTTTTTTCGAAATTTGGACAACTTCTTGCAAGGGAAAATGTTTAACTCTGATGGGGCAGTCCAAATCGCCTTCACAGATTTTATTGATTCCCGTCCGACTGGTTTTTTTAGTAAAGGGATCAATGAACTACCTATGAGATGGCAAAAGTGCATAGAAAACAATGGTTCATACTTTGATTAATTAAATAAATATAAATTATATTAATTTATTAAATATATTATATTTAAAAATATTCAACTTTTTGTTCCTCCCATACAAAACGCCAATTTCATATGTAAGGACCTAATATAATATTTAGGACAATATTGTAACTAACACAATAATAACCATTTGGACTTATGATTATCTATATTATAATTTATTATTTTTACTATATTATTTATTTTTTATTATATTTTATTTATGTGTATATAAATAAATTATTATTGTTTATACAGTGATATAGGTTAGATATTTTTTAGTGATTCATATTTAAATTTTGAAGTATATCGGGTAATATATGAAACTACTTACCATTACTGCTACCCACCACCACCCTTTTACTTCTACTTCTATTATTACCTATTTTGTGGCATTATTCGATATGTAAATTAAGTGTTTATCATTATTATAGGAACATTAACCTTCTTATAAATTGTTGTAACCTTTTTGATTGACGAAGAAAACCATCAGGCATGTGCATACGCATGTTAGGTCTGATTGGATCAGCTGTTTTACCTATCCCGAAATGTAGTATTATTATTTACAATATAAGCAACATTCATGTTTTTTTTATTAAATTTTATTTTATTCTGACGCCAATAAAAGTTTTATATTTTAATTTGTTCAGTTTTGAAAATTCACAACTTTTTGTATGTTGCAAATATTAAATGGTGTAAATGAAACTTTTATCATTCAATATTTTCTCCCATCATAAATTTTTAAAGTTGTTAAAAAATCTAAATATAGCATTAAAAGTAAAACCATTTGAGATATTAATGCACTTGGACATGAGCCAGAAAATACCCTATGGATTTTTTTTTTAAGTAAGATAATATGTTGGTAGGTCATTACTTTTGTTTATTCATTGAACACAAATTATAGCGCACCACAAATTAATAGAATTCAAATTTATCTAATTAAAAAAAGATACATCAATGCCAGAGCAGAGAAATATTTAATGAAATCTCTAATTGAGTGTTGATTGATGTGATATATTACTTATGACTGTAGACAATATAGAACAATGTAATTTAATATACTGAATTTGTACATCCACCTATTTTGATATTTTTAAAGGTGGGCCCTGTGGCGCAACGGATAACGCGTCTGACTACGGATCAGAAGATTCCAGGTTCGAATCCTGGCAGGGTCGATATTAATTTTTAATAAACATATTTTTATTTACCGAAATCGGCAATAAAAAAATAAAATTTAAATGAATATTTTTAAACTAGATTTTAAAACCGATTTAAAATCAAAATATTAATGATTTTTTGTAATATTTTTATAAAGAAACTGACCTTATTTCTCAGTTTTATATAATTTACAGCTTAAAACAGCAGAAGCAGCTTAAATTATTATACCTTATAAATTATTATCTACTGTATATATTCACCATAGTCTATCATATGACTAAAAGTATTTTAATAAGTTCTACAGTTATTGAGACTCTTAATTAAAAAAAATACAAGTATTATTACATTTGCAATTTATTGAGACTCTTAATTAAAAAAAATACAAGTATTATTACATTTGCAATTTTGTGTGATGTTGCCGGTGGTTAATTATTTATCTATGACGAGAATTATGTCAACTGTCAAAATACTAATACGCAATCTATAACGCGCGGAATCACTTTTCATTTAGTACTTTGGTGTTGGCAAATATTCTCAAATTTCTTTCTTCATAAAATTTAATGTTCATGACATGGGACGGTGGATTTGATATAAGTAAGATTTAAATATTATTTTTTTCTCCTGCGCTTCTCATTTGGTTTGAAAGTAGTTTCGCCCGTTTATTATAGATTAAAAGATCAAGAATTTGTTAATATTGACAAAGATATTGCTTTAGAATGGTTATGTTAGTATCGAGATTATTTACTCGAGCGACACTTGTACCCGTGTTTCGTATTCGGTATGGTTCAGCAGAGCTACCTAAATTTCGATAGTTCAATTTGTACATAAATACTGTATCTATATAAATATTCTTCAGCATAGGATATCAGCAATAAATACTTTATGTAAGTTCTAGTTTCTAACGGTCCTTTACAGATAGACAATTACAGTAATCAAGTTTTTTGTTCGTACAAAAACATTTCATAATAATTTAACTTTACAAAAACATATGTTTTATAAACTCACTTAGTCCGCTTATAACTATGCCTACAATTGTCTTTATCAAATCATGTTTTTGATTATTATAGACATACACAATATTGTGCCCGCTCCTTCTCTTGAGTTCTGATGGGGACACTGTATAATAAAACCCATTTTTATATCGAAAACTGTATAAATCGAATATGTAAACTTTGAAAAACAATTTTGCTCTTTCGTAATATACAAAAAAATTATTGGTTGCTAAAATAATCTCGAATACTTTCAGTTATAACTTTAATTCCTGCCAATGTGATTCAGATTAGTTTGCACGAAAATTCTAATAACTTGTATAACAAATTAGTAATGTGAACTTAGATAATTCTTTAGTTCCCCCATTAAAAATCACTTTTCTAAGTAAGCACGCATATATTTAGAGCAAATTTTAAAGTAAAAATTAATGGATTAAATAAGCTGCTTTTATAGAAAAACATACCATAATTTTCATTTGCATTGTTTAGTGTATCCATGCAAGTTTTAATACCTCTTACGCGTAGCAAATTCAAATGGAACATTGTCTAATAATATTCAGCAAAATCGTAATCAAAATAATTGTAACCTATCAAAAACACTTTGAAATTTTAACACCTGATACCTAGTAGTAGCTTTCAGTTATTATCCTCATAAGTAATAAACAACTTGTAATAAATAAAAACATTAACAATACATTTCGCGGTTTAATACATATTTATATAACAATTTAATATTTAATAAGAGTCAACGGGTCAATAAATTTTTAAAATTGCGTATTATATACTATCTACATTTCCAATATTAATACAAGCCACTAATGATTTCGGACACGTATCTATCCGAATATGTACGTATTACAATTCCAATTAGAGTAATATTGCAAACAATCGGCCCTAGGCTGACGTCATGAATACGAAATGTCGCTAACGACCGCCCCCGGCTGCGAAGCCTGAATTTTCAAGCGGCATGCCGGCGCTGTGTTGAATAATTATTTGGCTATACGTACGTAATATACACATGACTTCACATGACCCATGTATATCCTAACCTACTGAAACAGGTATGAAGCTTTTGAATTTGAAAACAATTAACATAAGCGCGGGGTAAATGATTTTTGTTCCTTAGCTATATTGGTTTATTACACGGCATATCTATCAGAGTGGGACTTAAAAGATTTAACTAAATATAAAGCTTGATGATAGATTGCGTGGTGGTGTCACTTCCTTAAAATAAGTTTATTTTCATTCGATTGATAACAAATGAACCGAAGTTAATCGTTTCATTTTATTGTAAAGCACATAAACGAGAATATTTTTTAGTAGGTAAACCATTAACGTAATTATACTAAATTATTATTATTTTAAATTTAATTAAACACAAATTATGGCGCAACAACATTTTATTAAAATGTTCAAAACTTTAATTACAAACAAATCTGTTATTAATTAGTCTATATAGTATAAAGTTTCCTTATTTTGAGGAATTTTATAATCCGGAACAACAGGTCTTACTTGAGAAAAGAATTTCCTTTTTGTAACTGGCTTAAGTACATATTTTTCCCCGACTTTACTTACATTAGATATTCCCGACGAAGGCTTTTTATTATTAACATTTTCCTTCAGCAAATTTGTCATCAAAATACCAGGCGGTGGTGTTACAATATGTGCATTAGTTACGGCCGTATTTAAATTTGTTTCTGGGTTTCTTGGTGGTTGTACATTACTAAGTATGTTACTTGTATCAGGGTATACATTGTCATTATGTAAATTTGTATAAAGTCCGTGAAGTCCGTTATTTACATGAACCATTGGATAAGTAAAAGGTCCTAAAGAAGGGTTATCAAAACCATGATTTCCATTATTTGTTTTAATATTTGGATCTGTATTCCCATGGTTTTTAGCATTCTCTTGCTTTATTTGACCCATAATGTTATTAATTTTGTTTATATCTTGTATAATTTTATGTATATTTCCAACATTTCCGTTATTATTAATTCTAGGGTTTAACACAACGTCATTTCCGGGAAACTGATTTACCAATGGGTGATTAAGACCCGAATTGTCATTAATAAACGGAAATCCCGATACTCTATTGGCAATTCTTTGTTCATTTGTGTTTTGAGCAATGTTTATTGGTGATGTATTCATGGTATTGCGTGGTATTCGGTTGTCATCATCAGAGCTGTCGCTATTTCCAGAGTCATTAACGTTCATTAAGCTATTAGTGTGTTTTGTATTTTCCGTGTGAAATGCAGGCGGCGTTCCCCAATTTTTATTTCTTGCGTTGTATTTATCTCTAGTTGCAGCAAGATTTTGAATAGTTTGAGCATAAGGATTTCGACTTGGATTATTGCTTACGTTGTAAATTTGTTGAGGAGTCATATTACGTCTTAAAAGTATATCTAGTAGTCCAGCATTGCAGTAAGTGTACAATGCAGCTGAAAAAAATTACAAAATATTACTTTTTTTTTTATTTATTATGATTTTATATAATAATTATACTTTTTTGTACATACATTTAATATATGTATCAGTAAAAATATGTATTACTACAAAATTTAATCTCAATAGAAGTACAGAGTATATATAAATTATCTTTGTGCCCAGTTCAAATTATAGTGCAGCAAAATAACATTGAAAATAGATTTGGTACTCCAACGGATATAAGCGACCATTATGTAATATGAAACATATAATAATATAACATTACAACATATAACCAAAAACACATTTGTATAAATGGGGCGTAAGGAAACCATGAGTCATATAAACCGTGTGTGATTTTGGAGCCTCAAATCAATGTATTTTGTAAGTTTAAGAAATAGCAAATATAGGGCCAATGCTTTGGGGCTTGCGAATGTAATAGTTTTAGCTTTATATTTCTTCATAATGTAACATTTTATGAGGTAATGAGAGTCCGATTTAAATAACACAAATATTTAGTAAATACTGTTACTAGACATTCACTTACTTATTGTGTTGTTTCTACCAGGTTTATATAATAATAATAGCCTTTATTGCTGTAAAATACTTATCCTACTGCATAAAAATGTCAAGTACTATAGACACATAATTAATCGGCAAGCCGGTTTTCTTTCTGTTTACAGCTTGTCCTTGGACATAGGCCCCCTTTAAGAGCCTCCACCAGGTTTATATTATTCAATAAAAAACAGATAGTGTGTTGCTACACTTAGGGCATTTGTTAAAGTCAAAATAGAAAACTTTATAATAAAATTACTCACTCAAAGTTAAATAAGTACACAATCCATTTAAATATGTTTTCATGTTCGCTGACACCGAGTCATTTTATCACTATTTAAAAAGACTAGACTGATGTCTAAACTGCATGACTATCTGAGACACTCTGATCACATTAAATAGTAATTAAATAATAGTTTTACAAGATGTAACATTAATTACATTCCTCGGAAATAACGTCTAGGTAATTACCCGAATTTCATTACAAAACTTGTAATATTGTCGTTTTAATTATGTATTATAATGAAATCTATCTTTAAAGTTACCATGGCTTAGAAATCACTGATTTTACTGCGATTAATTCGGAAGATCTACTTGTCTGATCGGCCAAGCATTGCTTTGGCTAAGGTTTTTGTTATATTACATAGTAGTAAACTATTCAAGGGAAACAGTAGGAGAACACCAGTCATGGGGACCACTATGCTTTGAAACGTTGGTAATTTCAACACAGTTAGAATAGAAATTCTGTTAGAATTGTGACTATCAAATAATAAACAAATATTTTGCAATAAAATAATATTGCGGGTATAAATTGAGATGTAAGCTATCCTATCTTTTAAGTTAGAATAATCTGCACACGGTGTGCAAATTGCAAATGCAAATTTAATTGATATCGTACCTAATTTATATATATTAAGATTTCATTTGTTAGTGCTGTCTCGTGGGTAGATACGGTGATCAGGTACCTACTTGTTAGAAAAACATTATTATAACGTCAAATAAAACATGTAGCCCATCTTTTAGTAACAAAATCATTAGTAGTTCGATGATACTCTGATATTACGGATGTAATCACGTTGTTTGTCATTTGTTAATTTTCATTCGTCCATTCTTTTAAAACGGCAGGTTAATATGACAGTTGCTTTGTTATAGAGGGTAATGGAAAAAATCTATAAAATCTATATAGTTAACTATGTTTGAAAATTTCAAGTAATAGACAAATTTCAATATATTATTAAGTGCGTGTTAAAAGCACGTTTCTCACGTATATTTTCGCGTCGTATACAATACTTAATACTTGATACAATACAAGATATGTCTCCATAAAAAAGAATCCATGTCAGTATTTCATTATTTAGTTGGTTTTATTTAGTATAAGACATCTTATTCAAAATATATTTTATCTTTGTTCTCAAATTCTAGTATTTTATATATTTTTGTACGGACAAGTTGGTTTGTCAAATATCACCGAAATAAATTTTAAAGTAACAAATTATAACATTAACTCAAAATAAAGTAGGCATTTAGTATCTAAAATGGTTTTAGAGTATTACAAAAACTAATATTTTATAAAATAAAATTAGTATTACTTTTTAAAAATATTTATAAACCAATTGAAATATCATTTAAAAAGCAGATGAGTCCAACACATTTGACCACACCACAAGGTGGTTGGCTTATTTGTTAAAATGGGCAATGTGGCACGATTTGACAATGTTTGACATGCATGTATCGATTTATTGTTTGTTAATGCGTGGCGCGTGGCTGCCAGTTAACAAAGACATCCCTTGTAATAGTGGTATTTGTTAATACAAGCATGCTTAATTTGTATTAAGTACTTCCGCAGCAAAAACCTTTGACTCATTACCATTATTTTATTATAAATACAAATTTATTCATATCTTTGCACAAAAAATAAATAATAATAATTTAAGAAAACATGGTGCAGCAGGCGGCCTTATACTGAGCGATCTCTTTCAGGTAAAAAAAAAATAAAACAGGATTGTGAAGTGCAAGACTGCACCTAATATTTTTCTTTTTAACGAAGGTATTTAAGTCAAAAACATTCGGAAATTACCAATATTGTTCACCTTAAGCTATGTCATCTTAAATAATTATATTAAACTAGCGAACCTAACAGACGTTCACACGTCTTAATCCAAAAAATTAAATATAATATATAATATATAATCTAAAGCATGAATGATGGTGAAAAAATCCGTCCAGCCGTTTAGGTGGATGTTAATTACAAACACACGCACAGAACATTTATAATATATACCAAAAAAACTTCCAATAAAGAGATTTAGATACATAAGCTATGTGGCCCACACTTGCTTTTTCTGTAATGATTACTTACAACGAATCGTGAATAACTTAATATTGCTCCATAAAAAGGAATCAATATCTGGGCTCCATTGTCGTTTTTTAAGTCTATTGTCTAAATCTACATTGCTCATTTTTCTAGTTCTTGGTTTTGACTCATTTTTGTAATCATTTATCCTACGAACTAAATTTCATATCACAAAGTGACATAAATGCATAAATAACTCATAATAAAGTAGGCACTCGATATAATAGAGTAATCCTGCGCACGCGCCCTCAAGCGACAAGCCATTGAACCCATTGTAACTTTCGGATCAGCTGCCACTCGAAAAGCGACAAATAGCCAACGGGTTAAAAAATGTGAATTCTATATATTTCTGGTTCGTGAAATATTAACCTCGATTTTTCGTTAAATATATGTATTTTGAAACCGCTAACAAAATTAAAACAAATATTTTTATAAATGCCGAGTATAGATCTTTTATATTTATTTATTTATTAAAGTACACAACATCATATATATAATGAATTTTCTACATGTTACAAGATATCTATGCTATACATGACAATTATTGTGAAAACTAATTAAAAACAAAATATATATATTTATAAATTACTTTTAAAGTTATTAGGTGATGTTTTTACTTATAAGCCCCATCAAATTCGAGAGCTATTTAGCTAATTATGCAATTATACTTTTTAATTAAATTTTATAGAAAACAATCAATAAAATATAAAAACTACTTCTGAGAAAAATGCGAACGTCGTTTTGACAGATTACCTCAGTAAAATACTGTTTTAATAAGTAACTTCACAGCTGTTATAAAATAATATACGTTTACTGATATATAGTTTCAATATCACATTTGACGCTTAAGGCTACCATTATTTTATTACAGATTACAATAATAATGTATTTATTCAAGCACACAGGTCCAAGTTAGTTCTTACTATATAAGCCCATTCGGTTATTATTGTGTTAGTTACAATATTTTCCTAAATATTATATTAGTAGGTTAGCTTTAAAGTAATGAACGGCGGACAACAGTTTCGTAGCTTAACGATATTTTTCTGTTAAAAAAAAATAGCAAAAAGCAGTACAACTCTGAGGTTACAACAAGTTTATGTTCTGTTTCATTTTACAAAATATTTTTTATAGATTTTAAATTTATTTAGCTGCTTACGTACTTTAGCATTTCTCCAGTCTTACTATACTATATGTGCGGTATATAATACGCGTCAAACACATACTAATAATGGTTAATTGTATTTATTTTAATAATTAATATTCTGTATACATTAAATCCCCGTATACAAAGTAAAACAGTGTTCACTATGGTTCCGTCTCGTTTTGTCAAATAGTGTTTTAACTTTGATGGGACGAGACAGAAAAGTGTTTTAGTTGTAGTAACTGGATAAGAAAAGTAAATTCGAGCTTCTAAGAGTTGCAAATAATGCGTAAAAATTTATGTGTAATTAATTCACCTAAGCCATAAATAAAGTGACTTGTCAGTAATTTAACACAACAATAATCAAAGACAAGGGGATTGCGGAATGCTTCTCGATTATAAAACTATTAGTGGCATGTTAACATATGGACACCGCTTGAGGGCGAAGCACCCCGCCGAAACGAAGCCCCGGGGTGCCAAATACGTAATAGATTTCCAGATTATAAATTGCGATTTTCAAGAGCCACTCGTTGCGCTAATCGCTTTTTACTTGTGATTTTTTAAGTCACTTGAATTTCTAAATTCTTTCAAATGTAACATTATGTTTTTAAATTTGATACCGTCACGAAAACCACTTTGTACGTAATTAAATGTATATTTAATATTGCTAATGTTTCATTGTCTTCATCTGGTTTACGTTTTGGGATTTACTTAATAATTCATGTCTTCATGCTTATTGACGTAGCTTCTTTGAATTGTCAATCTCGTCTTCATACATAGTTGTCTAATTAATACGCGATCAATTTTAAACATCCAATAAAACGTAACGCCCGACGCTTTTCTCTAAAAATACGCTAGTTTGCAACAGAAAAACTTTTGTTGCTACCCTTTTTTTGCTCTCAAACATTATAGATAAGTTTACGATGTACAGTATCTAGTTCATAGATAACACAAGTTCTAATAAGTACTATCTCGTCTTACTCAAGCATTTACGTCTTTAATTAAATATAATTATTATTACAGAATTAACTTCTTAACAGGTAAAATGTAAAATAAATAATGGCATCAGACTTGCAACGATTACACACAGTTACAAACAAGTTCTTAAAATTATAATATTAGGCTTCTAGTAAGTCTTAGTTTATCTGTTACTGTACCTAAACAATTAAAATTGTTGTAAACGATAGTTGATAGATTGGGTTCCAATCTATACAAGAGATGGAAATATTATTCATATTAGGTACAGTAACAGGTAAAGTAGTTAGTAAAAGCCTCATATTATAATGTTAGGAACTTGTTTTTAAAAAATATCCATATTATATAATTAAAAACTCAGTACGTACCTTATATTGATGCACAAATATGTGCTATGAAAATGTAAATTGCTATTAGTAATCCTACATTTAGTTGGTGAAATAATTTAGTAAATATGTATTTAAACTAAAAAACAAACTTATGGAAAAGCTACAAAAAGGTTTCGAACAGAATCACGCAAAAGTTTTAATATTTACCTTTTTGAGATACAAAAATACCTAAAACACATTTCCCAATCTGCTTAGACATTTTTTTACACTTTGTGCAGTCACCCGACACCTCTCCGCCGCCACAGATGGCGCTTTTATGTCAATCGTCATAATTAGGGGATTACGACCCCCTAATGACATGTTACATTGAATCTTTGTTACACCCCGAACAAATGTCCCTATAAAATATTGTGCGTTGACTTGCGAGTCACTCTATTATGACGCTCTCATTGTGGGTGATGTAATACGAGATTTGCTTAAAATAGTAACATAATTATTTGTTCTTCATTTATGGAAATACCTGTCATGATGACTTATATCGATCAATAAAATAACTAAAGTAAAGGTGAGTTAATTAGCGGTGAGGTTAGGTTTAAGTATAATTTTAATACTTAGGCTTTTTGAAGTGAAACTTCTTTATCGGGGTTGGAAAAAAATTTAGTGTAACATTTTTGCGTTACGCGTCACATTTTTCGGTTACGCGCCATGTTGTTTTTTGATGTCAAACTTCTTTATCGGCGTTGGAATGAAACTTCTTTATCGACGTATGGGAGAAATTTTGTAGCAAATCGTCACGTTTTTCAATGATAGTAATATGTAATTCTATTACAATTAATGAAATTCTATAATAATCTTCGTAGTAATATGATAATAAAAGCCTTTTGTTAAACTTTATCTAATTTAACGAATTTCTGTAAAGTTGCATATAGTAGATCATTTATCGAAAAATAAGATCTTATTTCTTAGTTTCACTTCTTACGTGTGTACACCTAGTACACGCACAATTTTTTTTTGTTTAAGCAAAACTAGTGATTCATTACACGATAACTTACTGTAAGAATTCATTTATTACATCTTTAGGTAAAAATTGTCACGTCAAGAAGATTTTACTTATTACATAAACAAAGACAATATAGAATCATAGCTAAAAAAGCTCGAAATCATCATAGCAGTTATCAACTACCAACACTTACACCTGTTGTAGATGGGATAGCAAAAAGAGAAATGTCATTTGCTAGAAGAAATATATATATAAGTATACAACTTAGCCTACTCGTATAGAAAAAAATTCTACGCGAAATATCCTATATTAAAAGGCATTTATACCTCGAAGCCTCTGAATAAAATGTCCATTAATTTCCACGGCGACAGCACAACACGTTAATTGAATAAAAAAATGTCAGCTGAAAACCGATTGCCATCAAAGCTTCGAAAAAAAAACTGCTTTTAAACGGTAAAAGGCTCCGTTTACCGCGGACGCAAACACTTAGCTCCATGTTAATTAATAAGTAGATGGTGCCTCGTCAAAGGGAATGCATGAATACTTGCCAAACCGACCTCCAACGGTGCTTTTAAAATGCCCCCTCTTAAACCTGCTCAGAGAAACCAAAGGTAAACTGATTACGTCAATTTCAGCTTTTTTGGAACTCGTAAAAATAATATTTTTAATTATACCTGAATATTCATAGTGTGTAATACACTATGCAGATGTATGAATAGTTATTGGTAGTCTAAATGACTTTTTTAATCACTAATAACGCGAAGAGGATGTAATTGAACTTATTTCTGAAGATTTCATATTTCATATTTTTATTTTTACGTGATCGGTACAGAAACAGGCAACAGATTGAGTGAATACATATTGTTACTAAAAACTAAACAACATTTGTAAACCTGAAGTCCAATTACACCTGTACATAGCATTTCTTCAAATATTAACTAGTAATACTTTATACATTATTACATGCAGTATGTAAAATAAAATAAAAATAAGTACTACACTACACTATAACTAAACTAAGTCCATTTCATTCATGTTTTACACTAGAACTCGACCTCCGACGGAGTGAAAGCCTCCTATTCTTCCTTGTCTCTAATTAATATTACAATTTTGCCCCGCTATCCCTTTTATTTCATCTTCCCAAAATTTGATGGGCATCCTCTCATTTTTCTTAACATACAGTATGTACATATATTATATTTAATGACAAAAATATTATAGAAGTTATTCAGGTTGCAAGTCTACACCGCGAATAATCATGTATAAACGTTTTATTGCGCTTTATCTCAATACAACGATTGGCAAACTATAACTTCGTAGTACAAATGTGCAAATTCAAAGTAATAAAAATCTATTAAAATGTTGACATTACCTTAATTTATACAGACATGTCATTGATAAACTATATTTTATCGTAAAATTTTCGACACATAAAACAAAGTTCATTGAATCCGGATGAATCATTAAATGTAACAGTGTTAGACATAATTACAATTACGGTGAACTTGACCTACGGTAAGGATCGATCCGACCCACTATGCAAATAAGAAACGCTCCTTGATGTTATGTTATTTTACGGTTAGTGTCACGGTATTTAGTAATGGGTTTATTTCAAACTGATTTCGGTTATTTTCTCTCTATTTCTATAATATTTTTTTATAAGCCCGGTAAAAACAAATAGAATCATTGAGTGGCGTCGCTTGATAAGCAACCGAAAAAATTGTGGCATTAACACATAGTATCCTTGTTTTTATTTGTACGAAACAATTAAAATGTTAATGTTAACAAGAAAATTAAACGTGTTCAGATGAGTTGTTCGCATTTACTACCTGCAGGTGAATTTCATCATAGCACGTCAAGGTAGTTTCTTAGGGCAGTTTTTACCGCGCACCACCACTATGTGGAACCAGCTGCTCACTGAATTATTACCGAACCAATTCGACTTAGGGTCCTACCCGTTTGCCAACTGTATTATAAAAAATAGAAAAAGAATTAGATGTCCTTGTACCCAACTGAATTTGAAAATATATGATTGTTTTTACACTTTTATTAAGAACGCGCCGGAAAAAAACCCCTAAGATACTGGTATTTTTCAATCTATTATTATTTAACAAAAATATATATAACACTTAAACTACAAAATAAATCTAAAAGTATTAGTAACAATCTTTTCTTCTTAGTGTTCAAAATCAAAGTCGTTCATTTCCTGAAGTGACATGGCCTGATTAACTTCAGCCAATTTTAGAGGAATTTTCACTTCCAGTAACAAAAATCTCTTTTGATCCAGCGGAAGGTGCATTCAAGAAACTAAAGCCAGAGCCTGGTGGGAATGGAACTGGGTCTGGGAGCTCAGCTTTATCACCTTCGCTGGGACCTCAACATGCGGGACATACTCCAACAACTGCCTCATGTCCTACACCTGCAAGACGAAGACATAGAACTACATTTACACAGGTAAATTTTTTTTTTTAGGTTCAATTGAAACATGAATGGTGTGTAAAGTATAAGAAAAGGTTTTTAGAACAACTTCATATTTTATTGATTATTGAACTGTATTTGAAGTTATTCATTCAAAAGAGGTTACCGAATGATTGCATTTCGGAAAAAATGCTTTCTTCATCTTCTTATAGTGCCATCTCCTTGCGGAGGTTGGCGATCATCATGGCTAGTTTGATTTTGGATGCCGCGCTTCTAAACAATGACTTAGTGCTTTGACCAAACCATTGTCTTAAGTTTTTCAACCAGGACGTGCGTCTGCGGCCAGGTCTCCTTCTACCTGCCACTTTGCCTTGTATAATTAGTCTTAGTTAATTTGCCTATTAATGACAAAATATAGCATAAAAGTCATTTAGTTCTTTTATCAATTATGTATATCAAAGTTACATTTTTTTTCCACAGGAACAATTAGCAGAATTAGAAGCAGCATTCGCGAAGTCACACTACCCCGATATTTACTGCAGAGAAGAGTTAGCGAGAACGACAAAACTTAACGAAGCGAGGATACAGGTTAGTTCTAAGAAACGTGCCAAAAAGTGTTTCCTATGCATAGCTGTATAAAATAAACATAAATTTCCTATGCTTAATAATTATGCCGTAACTAAATAGTTCTATTAATACTATTATACAATAAATTTTAAATAAAAAAAGTAAATATAAATATTTATTTTATTAGATGGTTTATCTTATTAGAACTAAATTTATTTATTATGCATTCGCCGGAAGCGTTACGGGATAGCGTAGCACTATTGGTCCGACGTAGCGCTTGTACTTCGTAGCACTTTAGTCTGTACCCTCGTCTACATTTGATGAATTGTATTGTGTGTGTAAAATCAGTTTTTTTACTTAAATCGAATAATGACTTTAAATGAATTTAAAACTATAGATGTAGTAAAAATAGCATACAAATTTTACGCTATACGCTTTGGTTTATTACTAACATACCAAAAATGCACAATTTCACATCCATAGTGAACGAAGCGATATAACTAATTATATTTCCACCGATCGAATGAAATTGGAAAAGGAAAGGAACGTAATAACCGACAAACAAGCGGCCTTGTTCTTACGTGAAGTCGAAAATATCAATGATGCGCGAATATTCCGGTAATATAATTTGTAGCGTAGGCCGGAGCCGGATTAAATTAAAGTGCCATCTGTCCTCCATGGCCGTATGAATACGAAATGCTTACGATCCTTATCTCAGTTTTAAAATTGCTCAATCCCTCGGGGCACTATTGATTTGTCCCAAGAGCATCTAATTCGTCGCTTAGATATTTTATTCAGAACACGACTTTTAACATTCTCTTGAAGTAACGACCTTAATTCGTCAGCTCACATTCGCAGAATATAAAACTCACCTTCTAAGTAAAATGTGAGACGTTTACTTGTAGAGTATAGTTTTTTTCTCTAAAAAGATATAACTATTTACATTTTTACTATGGAAATATAAAACTTAAGGGTACTTTCAAATTTGTCTTCGTAGGAAATTTACGTAGGTTGGCAAAGAGTAAAGAGCCTGAGAAAATATAATTAAAAGGAATTCTTTCACATTTCACCGTTAAAAGCTTGTGAAATACGCACACATGTATACTCTATTAACGTTTCGCTACATAAGAATGTAAACGTTAAAGACGACGTCCCTCCTTCTAGAGGAAATTTCGATATAAAAATACAACGCTGGCGGGCGGGCGAGGGTGGCACGGGAAGGGAGGCCCCTGAGGCATTGCAATCCCATCAAATGGATCCGTAACGAAGTTAGCTGATCCTCCCCGCGCGCCTCTCGACATTGTCTCTGCCCTCAAATGAATTCTACAATTGGAAATAAGAAAATGTTTTGTTCACTGCTTTTTCAGCGTAAAGACGACCGTTTTCTTCAGACAACACGGCACTCCGCAAATGTGCTTTTTTGTTCGAAGGTTTCAGATCTTCACTAAATTAGATTTCATCGACGTTTAAACTGTAGCTAAGTGAAACTGACTTTCTTGTTTTTATTAAGGATAGGATATTTTAATACGGTCTTGATTATTCGTAGTATTTTGTTAATATTTTTTCTATATTGTTCTGATCTACAATTTATATGGTACTTAAATAATTATCAAATATTTTGAGAGATGCTGGATTTTATTGGGTTTTCTAACTAGATTATAGTATTGTTCTAGATTTTAGTAAAAATATTATTATAATAGAAAAAAAGGAAGATTTTAGTATTTGAAAGATAGGTAAAATAAATGGTTTATATTCGACTTCCAAAGGATATAACCATCCAAATATATAATATACATAAGATAAAAATATAAATATACCAATGTTTTTAATTCACGGCAGCCGATACGTGATAAATAAGAAAATCAAATATACAGTATTTACCATTTAAAATAATTTAAATTGGCGTCTGGTAGATAGTACCAGTGACCCCAGAGCTGGTGCTTTCCTCGCTCAACGAATAAGTATCGCAATACAGCGAGGTAATGCTGCCAGCGTTAAAGGTTCACGCCGCAGGGACCAAACTTTTAAGTTTCTTTATATTAATTCTTAATTATTTTTATTATTAGTATGTAGGTTAATAAGAAAATATATATTCAGATTTAAATGAGAAAATGTATAAATGATTATTCATTGTTATAGAAATTTATCTTTTTAATATAAAAACAGTCTAATTATATTGTACATTACGCCATTTTAGCGTTGGTATCGCAGTAAACTGTACATAGTTTAAGCGGGAAATTGCTTCGTTTTTCATCACAACGCGCGCGGCGAGGGACGGATGTTGGATTGCTTTGCGAAAAACTAATATCCCATTTATGTTTCTTCACCCTATTTTTACATAAGCTTGGCATTTTCGCCTCTATGTATACCGATTTAGAGCGTACAGTTGACTGCTAGTACATATGGGTGTGCATGGAGTTGGGAGGGCGTTCCTCCCTCCCTCTAATCAGCTGTAATCACCATATCAAACGACGCACGCCTCGTTCCCCGCGACAACAGATTATAGCCTTGTGTATTTTGATGGCACATTCGATAATCTACATTCTATATACATTCTAAATCTAAACGGAAAAATATGGCAAGAAAAAACTTTCATCCGAGAAACAAAACCTCAAACTACAGAAAATAATAATACACCCTGGAATGTAGGCTTGTGATTTATTTATTTTCATTAAATAGTTCACGTAGTTCACAGAATGAATCTGTACTTACTGAAATCGAGGACAACTATGACTACGTGGGGAATAAACATAAATACTAAATAAATATATTATAAATATTAAAATACTTTAAACAAATTAAATTTTAGACATTTAAAGTTGCTTCTTGTATATTATAAATACATGATATCAAATTGTTTAATTTTTAAAAGTTTTATTGTAATTCATGCGTAAATAATAAAATATTATATACATATATACATTTACTAAGGTTTATAATTTTGTTAAACCATGTATGGGAATGGTTTACAGAAAACATAGTAACTGAAAAACTGGATCGGAAACCATTTAACCCAACTGTATGTAAAATGGATGTAAAAATTTATTAAATCTTTTGTCATACAGGTCTGGTTTCAAAATCGTCGAGCAAAATACCGTAAACAAGAGAAGCAGTTGCAAAAAGCGTTAGCTCCAGCGGTGCTCCCAGGCTGCAATGGTATGATGAGGAACATCCAGGGATACCGAGGTTACCAGCCCTACCCGCACCCCAATACTATCAATAGGTATCCACAGGTAAGGTGTAAATTCCTTTTAATACATATGTAAGGAAAACATATTTTCCTATACAAACTCTTTTTATATTTTATTTTTCTTCTTTGCCGTCTGATCGACGATGTTTTATTTGTCCCTTGACATAATAGATGTAAGATGTTTTAATTTCTTCTTTATATTATTTTATTTTATAAAACCTAGAATATAGGCTTTAAATGTTGTTTCTTTTGTATTCACAGGTGAGTGAATAATTTGTAAATATATATTTTTCATTAAATGTAAATTAATAGATATTTCTTTTGTAAATAAAACTTTTGTATTCACAAAGAAACGCAGTTGCGCCTTATTTATCCCCAGTACTCGTATAAGCGATTGATACCATTATACATATATAAAAATGCCACATTTTATATAGAAAGACGACATCGCAAACAATATGAATAGTAACTTAATTTTTTAAATTGTAATAGAAGAATAGTTAAAAGGTCAAAAAAATCAAAAAAGTTTAGCATTGGTTGTTAATAAAAATGTTCTTCATTACTTGCCCACGGCGACTAACAATAACCTATAATGATGCGCAGAGACAAAATTACGCTTACTATGTCATACATTCGAAGCAGAGGAGTATCACTAGAACGGCTTTTCGAGCTCGAGGCATGGTGTTTAAACACCGCTATCACTTACAATTATATAAAATCTCCTGCATTCAATAAAACTATAGACTTAAATTTTCCATCGCAATCTCATCATTGAACATAAGCTTTAAAGAGATCTTTCCGCGTAAAAATTGTTTAGAACAATCACGTAAAGGTGACCCGTCAAAAATTCGAAATGTTACCGTATTCAGTTAATTCAATGAGATTCTAAGCATAATATTAAAACAAGTGTCGGATGACGATATGCAATTCGTTACAATTAATACCTATGTACTTGTTAATGAGAATATAGTTTCTTGATAAGTTGCGTGGCTTGGATGTATCGTTGAGTGCATCATCAAAAACTGTAACAAAAAACGCATGCATATTACGTTTAAGCGTAATTACGGTAATTACGCTTTGTAAAAATTCTGAAACACAGAGTGTAGGAGGCGCCGCTACTAGATCGGTAGATACACACAGATAGATTGATAGATAGATAGATAGATGAAAGCCTTGTAAAGTTCTTTAAAAATTATATCCCTTGACTATTTCATAGGCATTTTGAGAGTTAAAATGTCATAACGGTTCTGAAACTCATTACAATGCGTTGCTAATCGGACCTCTGATTACGCGTTAATGAGATTGCATCGGACACCGACCGCCGAAAATAATGCAAATAGCACGAACTGACAATGACAGTCATTTCGTATTTATCTTTAAATCAACTTGGTGATTGTTGATTCAACTTAATATGAATGGTAACCTAGGTTGCTGCAATTCAAAATCAGAATATTTTATTTATTTAAAAAAACACAAACACTATATATTCAGATACACGTACATATTATGGAAATGGGCCGGTCACATTACTCGCGTTTGTGATGTGTCAAAAAGACCCTTACTTGGAATAGCCCATTGGGAAGAAAAATGAGAGCACGCCCACCAGAAACCTGGGAAGGTGGAATGAATGATGGAAGATGAGAGACAAGAGGAAGAATTTGGAGAGTGCCTACACTCCGTCGGAGGTCGTTACATTAAGCCCATGTAACTAATGTTAAACATAGTGACATAATGTAATACACACACAACTCTAAATGTTTTCATGTTTCATGAATTCTGTGTCAATTCTGCACCAAGGTCCGCAGTTTGAAAATCATTTCAAGATTTTCAGGTGTAAGAATTGAAGGAACCGATTTTTCTTGATTGATGTAATAATATTTTGTTTTACCATAAGGAATGTTAATAAAAATAAAGGAAGTTCATTCGCGCCGGGTTCAAACAAACTCAGAGTTAAGAATCGTGTTTCTAATACTAAAATTGTTTATATTAAACCTAGAGCAGTGTTAGCCTAGTGGCGCCAGCGTGCGACTCTCATCCCTGAGGTCGTAGGTTCGATCCCCGGCTGTGCACCAATGGACTTTCTTTCTATAGTTTACATTGCATTTAACATTCAATCGAACGGTGAAGGAAAACATCGTGAGGAAACCGGCATGCCTTAGACCCAAAAAGTCGTCGGCGTTTGGACAAGAGGCTGATCACCTGCCTATTAGATTGACAAATGATCATAAAACAGAACGCCACTGGTATTTATATTAATAGTCATCACAGTTTCACCTAAAATAAAGAGAAAATCTGTTACCAACACATGAGGTGAGAAGACAGGAGGTAATTTCTATAATACATATTTTGCCGTTGAGTCGACTCTTTATGGGACCAGGAAATTTGATCTTACAAAGTTCGACAGAACCATATGAAATCAGTGCAGACTGAGAGACCCGTTAATACATTGAATCTAGGAATTATCCATAGATAATATAGTAAACCTAGTGTATAATATAGTAAACTTAGTATATAATATAGTAAACCTAGTGTATAATATAATAAATCTAGTGTATAATATAATAAACCTAGTGTATAATATAGTAAACCTAGTGATGTCACCGTACACAATACTTAATATCTAAAACTATTCTTAATCGTTTTAAAGCAACTATTAAGAATAGTTTACTTTACCATTAATTATCGAAAGTGATAATTTAACTAACGGATATCCGGCCGTTAATTACCATATAAAGCAAACGTGTGAAAAACTATTAACTTGACCAAACTTCGTTAACACGCGTTTTCGGTGTTTCAGTCGGTTTTAAATTTGTAATTAGTGTAATGTCGACTCTATTTAAATTAAACTGAAATTGAGAACATACGTGTATATAAGTTATTATTTTAACGATTAATTGAAACAAAATATATCCTCTACATTAATATCACGGGTAGAATTAAAATAATTATGAAATATGCAGAATGGAGAATATAGAACTCAAATGTACAATTCGGTTTTGTGTGAAATGGCGTTTTTAATTAGTAATGGAGTCGATACAAAAAAAAAGGGTGCGTGTACTTATAAGCGCGCGCAAGAAGTTATACTTCTTTGGCATTATTAAAAATAGTTTTTGATTGCATGCAAATAATTAATTACAATTAAATAATCAAACACTGGAAAAGGAGTCATTATAGTCAATAAAGTTCAGTTTACATTTGAAAAATTAAATAAATAAATATTTATTATTATTCTCTTACATTAAGTGTAACATAAATTCTATTATTATTCGAATGTTGTTTATAAATTATGTCCAATGCCTTAGCATCTTCCGTGGGCAACTTCATTCTGTTAATTTTGTGTCACGGAGCGCGCGCATCGTAAAATTTCACTCTCATCAATTTTTCATAACGCGCCTAAAGAAGTATAACTTCAAAAAATTTCAAACAAAATTGAAACTATTATTTCTTATTATATCGATTACATCATTTAAACCTGTTATATTATACTATATACGAATCTTGAAAATGTAGAAGATATACATAAGTGAAATCTTTTATTCGCTTTAATATACCTTCTTCTGTAAATGTATGCCACTGAACTTCCTCAAATTAGACCGATAGGTTGCATAATAAAAGCGGCAACACACTAGCGAGTCTAGTGAATGTACATGAGCGCTAACACTTAACAGATGCCTGCCTGAGCCGATTGCATGGAAGAAGTTATGTCACTCCTCACATTTACTATGTACCTACTGTCTATATATATCACCAAGACAAGACAGTGTCCGCCGGGCCGCTATTTACATTTGACATATTTAAAATATGCTATTTCAAATATTATAATACTCTGTATTGTTAACAGCATCATGGAAGTTATGAAGAGTTGCAGAAGGACATCTTCTCTTTATCTCAGATGGGTGGAGGATCATACCCCATGCCTCAAGGTTTCTCAATGGGCCACAGTGCGAATATGAGTGCGGTTGGCATGCGACAGGATACTATGGGTAAGAGTTTTTAAATATCTACAGATAAAGTTCTTTTTCAAATTCTTCAAAGGCCTCAAACTCAGCTTCAGTAAGCTGCTAAGATCATAAGCCTTTGAGCTATCGATAATGATTCAATAAAAAAAATTAATAAAAAAAACTATTTATACTTTTAACGGGGCGGTTAAAAGTATACTACGTACATATTAAGGTCGATTTACATCACGAGCAATGCTCATTCTATCCCCACTACAAGATTCGTCTACGAACAGGCGTAGACATTCTTTCCTTAGTGCGTTCGCAAAGATTCTATAGAATATCCTAAGAATGCTCGTTCGCTTAAGTTAACAGCGCAGAGCGCGGCGTTTTAGAGCGTACTGCTTTTTATAAGTGCTCGCGCCCTGGCGGTTTTCAAGGTTGTTCTATCAAGGTCCAGTGTTGATGTAATCGACACCTCTTTTCGTTTACACTAAAAGATTACGAAAGAATTCCTTGTCTAGCTCTGGCTCTATGAGTCTTTGATGTAAATCGACCTTTACATAATAATTCTCAATATGTCACGATCCTTAACCTTTTTCCATTTATTAACCTATTGTTCTTAAGACAGGTTTAATACATTTGTCCAATGTTATAATGATTATAAAAGTTCAGTGTTGTATTAAAATTTGTTCCAAGTCCCCCGTTTCTGGATGATTTATACGTGATTATGCCTGCATTTTTACATCATTTGCCAACATTCACGCAAATAAATAATTTCTTATAATAAACATAGGTTTTACAATAAATAAAACAAAAATATCTACGAATTTTGAAGGCAAAAACTATAACAAATGCCCTAAGCACGTCCCAATTAAATTACCAGCGAGTTAGTAGGTAGAGCTGTATGAAATTACTCGTTCTACAGAAACTTGTATTTTAGTTTGAAGTGTAAAACAAGACGCGGTAGCTTCCATCAACTTTACATTATCTACGTCAAGCCAATTATAAAGTTGTGGAGCGGTGGATCAAGCCGCGTTTTTATACAAATATCTTTTATAATAATGAGAAAACTTGCTCTTTGTTGTCTAACTTTTGCCAGATGATCGCGAAACTTTTATAGAGTTTTTGTCTCTTGTTGACAAGGTTTTAATTTCAAATGTCAAAATACAATTTAAAGAAATGTTATGTGCTTTTAGACATGATGATATAAGTTAAGTGTAGCAAGTTTTATCAGAGCACTATATTTTAGTTTTAATGTGAATGCCTTTGTTGAAAATTAAATTCGTATGAAATATGCCGGTAAATATGATAGAAATCTTAGATAAAAATAAAAAAATAAAAAAACAATAAGATTTTAAAAACTATTTTTTTCAAATTATTTATTAGTGATTTTGGTACCTATACCGATTATTATTTCTAATTCTATCAAATATTGGCTTTAAAAATTTCAAATTAAACAATTTAATATATAATTAAAAAAACCCGCCGAAACGCTTTTTAGTCAAGATGGCGTCGCACCAATCCCCATGGCGTACCTTCCTTGTAAACCAAAACGTTTTTACAAGTAATTTTATTAATGCTTTTAAAGCCATGTTTTATAAAGATCCTAAAACTCTCTGTAATTATAGATACAACAATCTTGTTTCCATTTAAAATTACAAATTTGTTGAGCGCCTAAGATACAATATTCCCAAAAAAATCTTGGATCTTGGCTTCAGATTGCATATTTCGTGGAACCATTTTTCTTCTATATTCTAGTAAGTGATCACTTTTCAGTACTATATTCCTAATAATAATATACAAGGTTAAGTAAAATATTACCAGAGCTGCCTCGTAAATTATATTGAGATGTTGTACGATATATTATGTAGGAGTAAAATGACGTAAAGACGGAGGAGCAACGTTTCACTAATTTAATAATCCCTGAGTTTGCGGCCGGAGATTATAAATTTGTACCCTCAAGTCAAGATGTCTCTATCTTAGCTTATATGATTAATATCTATGGCATAATAAAAATATTGTATAATAAATTATTTAAACATTAAAGTGGTTTTTTGATACGAATACAATACATTTTATACAATAATAAACAAAACTGCTTCCCATAATAATTATCAAAACATCCCAAAAACTAAATCACTTTTACTAATTAAGTTATTTCATTGTAATCAAGTACACAATGTATGTATATAAAAAAATATATGTATTTATACATAATACACATATAATGTATTATATATATATATATATATATATATGTTATGTATATAAAAATGCCATAAGGCGAACTCCAAATCAAAAAGTTATCTTAAAGCGCGGCAAAGCGTGTGACGTGGCGGAGCCGCGAGCAAATTCCTGCGTAGAAAAACCCCTAATAGAAGCGAGGCATCGTACCGTAGATATTCTAATAAGAAAATTTCCACTACATTTACTTTGGCGGGCGTCCTCGCGGCGTCTTCGCAAATATCTTATTTCCTACGGCGAGATTGCATCTTGAGAAAACGCGAGGGTTACTATTCGCTCCCCACCTAAGAGCATCTCGTTATACCAACCGCCCGAGACGATTTTCATCAAGTAACGAAGTCCTTGAAGTGCTCTTAAAATATATGGAACTTTAAGGATTGTATTCAATTTATATACATAATAATAAATTAGTTTTAACAAGTCCCGAGATTTAATGATAAAATCCCAATTATTCTAATAAAATAATTATTAATTATTTTTATTAATTTAATTGATAAATTATTTTTATTAATTTAATTGATAAATTATTTTTATTAATTACATAAACTACCTGTATTGCACAATTAATTATTATATCTGCGATACCTTAGTATCATTCTTATAAATTTTTACATATTTACACACTGTTAATTATATAAAAGCGTTATAAAGAAAACCAAAAGCGCAATTTAAAAAATCTATTCCAATAATTTCACTTCCTATTGAGCTCATTCCACTTGCCACGTTTAAGTCTTAGAAATAAGTAACAGGGAATTAACACAGTATTTTAATTTTTTGATCGGATGTCAGTAACTTACCTCATTCAATATATAAATCAGTCGGTATGAACCTACTATAGGTAGGTTGGTACTATACGTATAGTTTGTGACGGAAGGTACTAAATTACTAATTACAAGTATTTTGTATTGTCTGTACTCAAATCGTGAGTCGCACAAACCTTATCTGTATTATACATATATCCGTATTAATAGATTCAAATAAGGAATATATGAAGGTACCATCGTTGGGAGATCGGACGTGCCTTAAAAATAATGTCTGAAGTATTTTGAAATGACAAAAGGATTGCATATAGCTTTCCTTTTGGTAATTAAGATCCTATTTCCATAGTTACAGTTTACATATGTTTTCCAGGCATGACCGCGGAGGACGAATGGTACAACAAGTCGCTATCAGCATTACGTATGAACACAGGGCACCATGCAAACCTGGCCGCAGCGCCGATGCTGCAGTACCAGACCTAATCGCTGCTACACGGCGCTGATTACTCGGCGCCGGCGCACGATTACGCGCCATAACTGAATTTTTCAGTCAATTTCTTGTCTATACTCGTCGTAGAGGGTCTACAACTAACGTTTATTCTTAATTCGATTTTTTTTTATTCTATTGAACTCTGTCTTGTGTATTTTTAAGATAAAGTAATTCGGTGGTTTTTCGAGATAAAATCGTATTATAGCGATAAAGAAAGAATTAAAACGAGTTAATTTTTAAATGTTCGTTTTATACACAAAAATATGTCATGTAGAAAGCTTTTTCAGTTTCAGTTTTATCCGTTCATTATCACTATTTTTGTATAAAATAACAAATTTATGGAAGATAGCTTTTTATGTTGCGAAATGCAAGTTGGAACGTTAAAATAAATGTATAACCGTTTTTATACGACGCTATCATAATTGCGTCTTCACTCTAGTCGGTATTTTTTAAACCTTTACAACTAGTATAGACAAAATTATTTCTAGTTTATACCTCATAGATTTAAACTAAAGATTTTCTTTATGAATAGTCCAATTTCGAAATAAAAGTTCGTAATAAATTCGCATATTTATGATACTCAATCGAATCTAAAACATCAACGAATAATTTTACCAATAAAATGCGATTCAGTAATGTAAATAAATTAAGGAATCATATTTATTGATCGTTTCAATCAAAACGCTAAATATTCATGTTTAGTCTGATATTTAAAAATAATTTTCAGTATAAATGTTTTTTGCCTGTGGGAAAATTACTTATATTGTTTTACATGGGAAACTCTGCTATTTCAAACCTAAATGTAAAACTTTAAGATAAGTATTTGTTGGTTCAAATCTTACATTTAAAATTTTCTTTAGAGAAAAGTAACTCCTAAATGTACAGCACAAGAGCCAAATTAGCATAAGTAAATTATAGAATTTTAAGATCTTCGATACTCATTGTATTCTAAGTAGTATTAATGTACAGCTCCTCTCTAGGAAGATATTGTAGTTAGTTGTAAGTTTGCATTTATCCGAATCTCATATTATGCTCAAAATACAACGTACGACACTTAACCGTAGGCGTTAAATTTGTCGAAAATTTTATTAAAAACTTTTTTAATAGTTTCCATTTCCCTAATTACAGTGGTTTTCTTATCAATGAGCAAACTGTTTAAATGCTAGTCAACATTCATCGCGTGTATTTAAGATCTCATTAATATTATTTTAAATATTTTGTTATTATTTGGCTAAATCTGTAAATATTATTGTAAGCGGGTTATAATAACATGTGTAATTAAATAAATTGTCTAAAACGTGTTCGTTTTCTTCATTTATATATTTACCTTCGTAAATATATAAATCCCTTAAGAAACACTCTCGTAATTAATTACGAAAATAATGTAATTTCAATGTGTGCATATTTTATTTCTTTACCCAAAATTACAAGATCTTGATCTTCGAGGAATGTTAAGATTAATAAATAAATCGTACTTTAGTGTTGAAACTGGATTGGGAACATAACACGTAACAACACAAAGAATATAATAACAAAAATGTTTTTCATTTGTAATCGCAATGGCACGTAGCTTGAATTTGGTTTCAAAATCGCCTCTGATTTACTACGATTAGAGCATTAATTTAACAAAATGCGTAAATAAAACATTGGACACAGAATTCAACCATTTATTATATTCAAATAAATTCAGCTTGGGGCATCGCATATTGTGGGTTTGTGACATTGTTCCGTCGCAGATAGGTCGCGAGGTGCGAGCCGACAATGTGTTCGCCGTCTATCGATCGCCAGAACACGTCGGCCTCGTGACGTAACCAAGCATTCTGACCGCACTCCTAGGGAATGATTTTACTAAATCATATTTAAGTTAATAATACGCCAACTCTACGTTCATATGCCCCTTTTTAAGAAAGGGGATATATTTTCGACACTTCCTAGCTGCTTAGCTACTCGGTCACATATGTGCCTGATTGCGTGCCTGATAGGCTATAGGGGTTCGTGTTTATAAAAAAAAAAACGATAAATTCCATCATTCTTTCACCAAAGACAATTAAAGTAACTAACGAAAGATTATTTCAAATATTCTAAACCTACATGTTAATTAGCAATGGAATAATATAAAATTAAAATATATTGAAACAGTTAACAGGTCCCTTCATCCTGTGACTGCGCCTGGTAGATAGTACCAGTGACCCCAGAGCTGGTATTACCTCGCTGCATACTTATTCGTTGAGCGAGGCAATCTTACATCTTTAATTAGCGCCTGGGCATTTGAACCCCACGGGCCAAAAGTCTCTAATCCAAAGGGAACAAAATTAAAGTTGGAGGAAACACCCTTTTATTTAAACTCGTAATTTACTAATATATGTAATTCGTATGGATTTTATATTTCATGTTTACTAAGAAATAAGTGATGTTACGACATAGTTAATAACTTAATATCCAATGTATCTCGAATGATTATTGTCGTCAAATCGTATAGGAAAGCTATCGTTTTGTTTATTTTATTACCTCAAATGGACAATGCAGCTGTTTAAAACAAAATATTAATTTATTACCAGATAATATTTACACAAGGGTAATATTTACCTTAAGCCTATCCCCAGTGCCAGTAACAATACACGTTGACAAGTCAGGGTTGACTTCAAGATACTCGTTATATTTCGTCTTCAGCACATCGTGTACCTGAATTTTGAGTTACTTTTTAAAAAAAATCTCTTTCGTGATCTAAAGTTAGTTCTCAGTTAAAGAATTTACTGAATTAAATTGAATTGTAAAGTTTACGACTTTAAAGTATCAAGGACTTCTTGTCGATATTCCTTTTAGGAACGCGAGAGGTCCAAATAATAATTATTGGAACAATATCATATATGTATACACACACATATAAAGGAATTTAATACAATTAGTTGTCAAAACGTCTTACCGTTTTGATTCCATGGTCTTCGATTTCCATCATCAAACCTTGGAATGCTTCTTGATACAAAGCCGACATCCACGGCTTCGTGAAGAAATCATAGAAATCTTCAATCAGGTTCAACTAAATAAATAATCGTTTAATAATGAACCTACCTTAAAATAATTCTAAAGAATGATCATACACGTCTAACAGAGGTGAAATGTAACTTCATTTAAAAAAAATAATTGCTTAAAGTAAATAAAAAACAAAAATTTCCTTCATACAACAAAGATATTGTCTGTTGTAGTATTTTTCTAATCTGCTATCATTTATGAACAATATATGTAATACTATTTCGTCAATATTAAGTGGTACACCCCGTAGACGATGTAAATAATTGGTAATAATGTACCTACCTAGCGGAATCTGATATACATATTATATATCTTTTGTTAATTCCATTAAATATAAATGTTTCCATTAAATTTAATCATTCCCCATAACAATACAGGTAGGTAATAATAATACTATGTGTTCAATAAATAGTAACTAATATTATACAATATTTTGGAAATAAATAATCTATTACTCGAGATCTTCAGTTGGTTGAGAATTCATTACCTATATATATTATCGCTACTAAACAGTCTGTTCCATATAGAAATTTGTGTCTTCATTTATATACAAATAGATTTTACTATCCATAAACCAAATAAATTACATTAACGGTATACAATAAAGGTTAAAAAAAGATATTCATAAAAGGCCGGCAACGCACTTGCGAGCCTTCTGGCAATGAGTGTCCATGGACGTTATCATTTAACATCAGACGAGCCCGCAGCAATAACAAAATGATCTAAGTATTTTTGAATTCGATTCAGTAATGTTTAAATTATTTGTTAAAAACAAACAAATTTCCTCTTAATAATATTAGTATAAAAATTTACATAAACCGAAGTTATTTATTTAAAAAAAAACAAACCTCGAATCTAGAGAGCAAATTGTTGAAATACGACTCATGTCTTCCATACAACATAATAAAGTTTTCTGAAGCAAACCGTTTCTTTGATAAACAGGTGATCGATTCAATTGTATGCAACGCGTTTATTTGAAGGCGAAAATAATTCTCATTTTTATCCGTTATTAATGTGTGACCCTGTAAATAGTTATATATCTTTATTCATAATCGTTTGTAAGAATTTTGTATTTCATATGAATATTTACGCCTTTTACTTTAAATAAAAAAAGTAAAGACAAAGGTAGTTGACGCTTAAGTACTTTAAAAAACAAAAATGTATTGAGTTTCATTTTATATCCTCTGCTTCACTATGTATTTTTTGTTCATTGGAATGGATGGATGTCTTTCCACCTGAGAGAATCGATTTTAGATCCGGATTGCCGCATAAACAATACTAAGCTACATTAATGGTACAAAAAATGAAGTTATTTACTTGATGAGGCAAGGTCATTTGCACAGCCATGGGCACTTCAGGGCCGGGTTTTCTTAGTTTTAGATAATACAACGGTCCGGGAAGAGTAGCTGTTTGTGTTAGCGGGGCATCAAATTTAGGTACCGGCTGCCAACGACTAACATAAAAATTGTAACAATATTATATATACTTATTATATATGTCACCGTAAAATTGTAAACACCGTTAGATTGTAATCTATCTCGCGAGATTGTGAACTGTCGAAAGATTGTGATCCTCAACGAACTGCTTACAATTTAACGTATTATTATTCGGTAGATTATAATCTATCGAAGTGAAACCGTCAAATTGTGAAACGGATCGCACCTCGCGCGCTGATTGGTTTACGGAATATGCCCCGCGCCACCATATTTGTTTGTTAATTCGTTTATTTGTTTTTTAATTCGTTTGTTGTCGAATGAAAGATAGATAACAATCTAACGGTGTTTACAATTTTACGGTGACATATATACTCGGATAGTAAACTTACATTATTACTTGCTTAAAATTTCATCAAATTGGTAATAGCGCCATCTATGTTGCATTAGTATTAACTAACAAGTAAGGTATAATCTACGTGTTTGTAAAATTTTTCTTCTTACGGTTTCCCTCTGTAGCACTTGAATACATTATATAATTAAAAATAACAAATAAAAAATATACTTCATTATAATATACAAAGTAGTAACTAAATGAGTTGCTGTAATCAGCTTCTAATATTATTTCAAATATACTTAACATCATGTGTTCATTTAATAAACGCTTTGAGCTTTTAATGTTATAAGACAAGTGAATTAATTTAAAATATAAAGGATTGTGTGGTTTTATGAACCTACGGTAAAAGTGAAACTTTTTTTCACATTATAGACATTTAACTAAATTTTTTGGGAATAATATTCCGATACGGGTATAAAAATCGTTTTATCAATCTTAATTTTATACTTGGAAAATTGGAATAATAATGGGAAATAATCAAAGTAGACTAAGTCTCCAACTAATATTTTTATTGAACTCTGTGTCTTAGAGAGTACGACATACATAATACTTACCAATTATATTTTAGATTATATACACATATTAAATAATATTCTATACACTACACCGTCAGCTGCTGCGAACTATAGCCGCCGCCATATTGGCCTTGGCTTTGAGCGCCTTTCACTTTATCCCTACTCCGCGGCCGACCGTCACGCGACATGCGACACACAGACGAAAAAGTTTGAGACGATGTAATTAAAGTTTCACTTTAAAAATTACGCCTTTAAAATGTAAATTAATTTAGAATTGTAAATGGAATTTCTAGAGTATTTTCTTTACACATACCCTCTGATAGCACTCATTGAAAGTCGTAGAGCACTTGCGACACTAGCATGAGAGTCTTTACACCTGAAAAACAATACTAAACTTCTTATATTAATTAATTAAGTTAGGTCTACGTCCTACCTTAGTTTACGAATTCACAAAATAAATTCAGAACAGTCTCAAAATGACAATTTTTCTATGAACTAATATGTATAGTTCTATTGATAAACGTTTCAACTAATTTCATGTCGAACATTTAATTGATCTATTTTAAAAGAGGAAACCGGCATGCCTTAGACTCAAAAAGTCGACGGCATGTTCTGGCACAGAAGGCTGATCACCTACTTGCCTAATAGAAAAACAAATGACCACGGAACAGATATCTAAAAGATTTAAAAAAACAACACTACACAAGTCGCATTTAAGTGCCACCATGTCAACATTTGGCCGTATAGTATCACACATGCTAAGATGCGGCCAATTTTTTTTTTCATTTCCAGGAGATGCCTATTTAACCAGAGCTTGTCGTTTTAAATGTCATATTTGTGCAATTAAAAGGCAATACTAGACTAAGACTGCTGTGATTGTGATGTCTTGTAATCTATTATAATAGACGAGTTTCTGTGTCTGTTTCAATGATTTTAGTTTACAAGTGGTGGCTACACGCAATTACGCTACCTGAGGTTTGAGTTTCAAATCTAGACATAATTCCACCATTCTTAATAGCAAGATCAGCCAGCTATTACTCTCCAATATCTACGCGCATTAATTAAATACATTTTAAAGTTAAAGGAAAAATATACTAGCAACACTAACGGCAAAAGCACGGAGCTAAAGCGCGATGCAGTTTCAGATGTGGGGGACTCCACTTCGTGAACACCTGTCATGAATGGGTCCAGTTTTCGGAGAAACAAACGAGCCATCTATAATTAAAAAATCTGTAATCCAGCTCTATGTAGCGACATCTACAATCTGCAGCTAGAATCAGTATGACGACATACCCCGAACTGCGCTATCGAATTATTTTATTTAACATATTTGACAGGCAAAGCCTCTACAAAAGTAGCCACACTATACATTTTAAAAAACGAATTTTCTAGCAATGGCATTCTTCGCCGTACAAGGCATACCTTAAGAGATAAGTCGCATGCTTATCTCGTACCCTGAGAATATTTTTCTAAACTATAGCGATGCGTTACAATACCATGAAAAATACAGACAGACTAATTATTTAAACATATTACTAAACAAATATACACTATACACATTTCAACACAATACATCACAACTATAGGAGGCATATAAAGTAGAAATAGTTGTATTATTGTATTTAAACGTGAAGGCGTGATTAGGACCATACAACTAATATTAATCTTTGGAACGAATATACGACCTCTGCTTAGTGCATTAAAACTTAGTGCGTAATATTTATTGCTTTTTATACTACTTTCACTTGATTTACATAAAAATTTATAATAAACATAAAATCAATTTAAAAAATATAAAACAATTGTGCAAGAGTGGAATTTTTTTGTTCAAAACAAATATATGATACTAATTATACACCAACGCCAACAATGAACTTATAAAAAGACGTAAAAAATAAGTCATTAAAAATTACAAACACCAAGTTATAATTAATTTACATAAATAATGAGATATTCAAGATACTATTTGTTTATATCTTAAACTTTCTATAGAAAGTGAATTATAAGTTTAGATAAGACCCGCGGGCATTAGATGTAAGTCTCAACGTGTAGAATACAAAAACTGGAACTAGATTTAAACAGAAAAGCTACCATATAATTGGATGGTATAATTAAAAGTTTATGTTATAGGCCCTGTGGCGCAACGGATAACGCGTCTGACTACGGATCAGAAGATTCCAGGTTCGAATCCTGGCAGGGTCGAGTATATTTTTATTACAAATTCTACCACGTACATAAATTTTTATTTTGTTTTTAAATATGGAATATATTGAACTTACCACAATAGACTTTAAAGTTGTACAATAACTTTAATTTAGTTATCAAAACTATTATAACATATACAATCTTTGTCGGTAAATAATGAATAGGACTCTCTATTTAAATGTCCAATTTTTTTTTTAATACTTACTGCTTCTCCGACATCCTCTGAAGTATAATATTTATGCAATCTGTTGTTTGCGTACAGTTTCCTTGAATACCTCACACAAGGTCCGGCCGCAAACACGTGAGGATCATTTGTATCGAAATTGGGTCCTACTACTAAACCTCCATCGTATACTAGGCCGCATTCATTTATTGCTGTATAACAATAAAAATGTCCCATAGAGTATATATATATAAAAGCTTTCATGGGCAAGAACTCTGACCATAGGTATAAGAACTTTACGAAAATTTCGACGTCAATCAGATGTCAGTTCTTGACAGATCAAACTCCATACAATTTACACAGAATACGAATTATATTAGAACTTCAATCTATTCTGTCTAATGAATTATATTCCATTTATCTACATCTCATATCTCTTACCCTCACAGAGTACGTACAATTTGACGGAAAGAGACAAAAGATTATTTAAAACAGTGCCAGAGTAATTATGAATTAGGACTTGACACAAATAATACAAGATTTAAATACCTTTAAACGCATAAACATCGATAGCTTTAAGCCCATAATAAAACAAGGCAAAGCAAGGTACATGTAACGCCGTTAGAGGTGATATAAGTCGTATAGTTTCCACCCTTTCTCCTTTCTGCATCCATCCATACAAATAAGTTTTTCTATACACTTGGATGTTTAACTTTTTCAAAGATAATTGGACTCGACCATCGATCTTAAATGGTAAAAGCCGATAGATAACTCGGTGTATTTTCTATATTGTTAGAAACCTTCGTCTTAACCCGATTTTATTAAAGTATTTACGTAACTCGACATTTCAAGTTTATTTCAGCAACGGTAAGCTTAAGTGTCTCGCTGTAAGTTTATCACTTACATATGCTAACCCGCAATATACTATCTTACATAAATAATAATAAATCGAATTGGTTCGGATATACTTCAGTGGGCAGCTGGTTCCACATAGTGATGGTGCGCGGCAAAAACTGCCTTAAAAACGCTCAGTTGTGGAAGGAAAACTCGTATAGTAATAGTAGAAAATATCCTGTTTTGTTTGTCTGTTTACTCTGAAACTCTCAATAGGGCTAGCGGGTATGCGTCATTATCTCGGAGCGGAGCTATGTATATTGTATATGTATCTTTACTATATATGTATATAAAGGATATATGAAAGAACTGAGAAATAAAATAAGATTAACATAATACATTATAGAGCATATTCAAGTCATTAGAAAACTACAGAATATCAATAAAAACAATATTGTCAACTTAACAATACAAGAGACTCTACTTTCCTATTCTACTCTACTATTTCTAGTTTACAAAAACATACCGTTTCATTATTAAAACAATTAACTCTCATTTTTCTACTGTCATCAGGTGGAAATGGCTCCACGAATGCAATTGTTTTAGCACTTATACCCAATTCTAACAATGCTGCAATACAAGTATATGATTCTACGCAGTCTCCGTATACGACAATTTTGTTATCTTCGCTCAAACCATTATCTTGATGTTCTAAAACATATTGATTCTTTGCTATTTACTTTTGAAAAAAGCTGCCATATTTCATGTTACCGCCAGGATCCCAACTACTACATATTATATTACATTAGGTACGTTTAATAAATTGAAAAAAAATACGTTCCCCAAACAAAAATGATTAGTGATATAAGTATATTAGTAGCCTAGCCTTCAGAGTGCTAATCGCATCTCTGAGACCGTAGGTACGATCCTCGGCTGTGCACCAAAGGATTACTGTCCATTTACTGCGCATTTAATATTCGCTTGAACTGTGAAGGAAAACATCGTGACAAGGCTGTTAGGCTGGCTTACCTTACGGGCACAGGAGGCTGAACACCTCCTTCCCTATTAGATTAACAAATGATCATGAAACAGATCCTAAGAAGAGACCTAAAAAGGTAGCGCCACTGATATATTAATTTTATATTAGTTAAATAATGTGACTTTTTGAGGTGTATGAATAAGGGACAGAAAATTATAAAAGTATTTAAGTTTAAAGTAAATTTTAAAATCATAATATTAGTAGAAACAATTGTTAGCGAGTTTTTCTATTTAATAATTCAACAAGAAAATGAACTTACTAGTTTCCTTGATAAGTTTCAACAGTTTTTTAAGACAGCAGTTCGCTTGGTCCAAGGAATTGATAAGCATCACATTTTCTGGCAATTCTGGTGGTGGTGGAACCCTGTCAGGTTGGTATTTTACGTCATCCATTAGAAGACGATCGCAGAACTTCACTGGCCTTAATGAAGAAGATTTTTTACTTTAGTTCAGTATATTTTTTATTAAACAAAATTAGCGTACAATATACAGATACAACTCTTTCTCGGATGTAAATCAAATAGTAAAGTTAAGTATCAACTATCGTAACCAATATTATGATAGGTATCTTATCACAATTGTAGTAATATGTAAAGCTTTTGCGAAACATTGATATGAGGTATTCTTTTCTCAATTTGTATGATTCTTGAGTTACTCGAGGCTTATCATTCGTTTATGTACAAGACCATTTTACCCAGTTTCTTTGGCTGTGTCTTTGTCTGGAGATTCTTTCAAGTAATCGGGATGCTGGAACTGCTGCCCGCACACCAGCACCAGCTCATCATAGAACTTCATACCACCGTCCTTAAGATGAATGCACTTCTTTTTCCTACCAAAATTATTATGAGTGAGATTTTTTGCTTTGTTTTCGATTGTAACAATTTTTAAAATGGCCTAATATAATGATAACGTTAGATGTTATATGGAAAACAGAACAGCGCTCCGTGGACGTAATCGGAACTTAACACCAGGAATCATACACCATAAAAATAAAACTGTATAAATTGTATGGAAATTGTAGCTGTCGAAAATGTTATTGATGCAACATAATAAGTTAAATTTGTCATGGTATCACAGATCTGCGGAAGAAAAATAAAACAAAGAATGAAAGAACTTTATTATTCATAATAAAAAAAGATGTTTAGTTAAAACGAAAGTGCACTAGTCCCCTCATTAGGAATGTTGTTTAAGATTGTTAGTAAATGTATAAAGTTTTGAATCGTTAGAGAATTTTGTTTTGTGGTTACAGATGAAAGGGGCCTCTGAAAAGGAAAAACATTGGGGAATAAGTGCGTTTTTTAGGAAGCTTTCATGTATGTTTGCGCTGTGTATGATGTGGTGTGGTCGGTGTTTGTTTCCGAAAAAGTCTGGATATATCTATTAAGTATAGATATAATATATAGACACCGTTAAAATTTTGTTTCATTGTACAATTTTGAAGTTGGTTATATTAAAAAAAATATACACCTCATAATTTTTATCCTACAAGGTTTTTGGGCTATTTATCAAATATCCAAATGGTAAAAATTTGATAGCATAATTAGGAATCCGGCGACATTCAATAGGATTTCGGTTAATTCGAACATGGGAGACATCCTTGAGCATTGCATCGCTTAACTACGTGCTGATCTTTGATTTGACGAATCGACGTTTTGTGCTCTCTTCTTCTTCGTAGTCTTCGTTCCTCCGTAATTTGGTCAGCACAACGAGTAGGCGATCAAACCCGAAATCTACTGCCATCACTCCTCCTTACCATGTACAGTTTATCGAGACTATTTGGTCCTCTCCTGGACTTTCAAGGACTACCTATTAAGTCCGAAAAAAAAAACGTTTTTTTTTATAGAACAGGGGGTAAACGGGCAGGAGGCTCATCTGATGTTAAGTGATACCGCCACCCATGGAGACTCAATGCCAGAGGGCTTGCGAGTGCGTTGCCGGCCTTTGAAAAACTCGCATTCGCTTGTTTTGCCTAGTTGACCTAACAGTGTAACGTTTCACGGTTCGGTCGAAAATGTAAGAGTTACACTTAACATTAATCTCACCGGTCAATTTTAACCATAAGTCCGGATAGAACATCAACATAATAGTAAAAAGGCATGCTTTTTATATATCTGTCTGTGTATCTACCGTCACGCGGTACGCAGATTTCGGCTGCTTTCAGACAGTCTGGTACTGTTGGTAGACCGTGCTCAGAGACCAGGGTTATATTGGTGAATGTTAGGTACTGGGCACTGGAACTGAAATAAAATAATTTAATTATTATTGATGTAAGACAAAGATGAGAAAACTAATAATATGAAGAATATTATTACTTTGACTAATGTCACTGACAAACTTTTTTGCACATTTTGGCGTATTGCTTGTCATATATAATCTAATTTATAAAATTCTCGTGTCACAATGTTCGTTCCCATTCCCATACTCCTCCGGAACGGCTCGACCGATTCTTATAAAAAATTTTTTTGCATATTCATTAAGTCTGAGAATCGGACAACATCTATTTTTCATCCCACCCCTAAATTTTTATTTTGAGACGAAACTTTTTGTTTTTATTTTTTTTAAATACAACATACAAAAATACATACAACTCTTAATTTCCACCCCTCTACGATCAACCCCTATTTTTTATTTTTAGTTATTTTTATTGAACTATAAAATGTTTCCTAGAAATAATATAAATGGCAAAACGACGTTTGCCGGGTAGCTGTTTTCATATAAATTCCGTTTTGGTCGGTTCTTCAACTCACATTTCTATTCATTCATACAAAATCTGTGTAATAGTTTAAGAGTTGACTAATAGCTAACTGCAGGGTGTCGGTTTTTTGACGGTGTGCGCGCGCATCGTAAAAATTTACTATCATTTTTCCAAAGAAGTATAATTTCAAAAACTGCTTGACAACGGCTAAAAAGGCTTACTATAAAGTCAACGATTATCTAGATGATAAAAGGGCCTGGGACTAGTGCTAGACAGGCTACTTCTTATTAGTTTGCGATATTTGTTTTAAATAAGTGTTGTTTGATGGTTTGCGCGCGTTTTAAAAGAGTACCGAGAGTTTTTTACCCGGCTTTTTCTCTCGTCCTAACCCTCTGTCTTCTTGCCGATGATAGGGATGCCCAAAAATGACGTGGAATAAGTGATACATGTATCTTATGTTCCATAATAAACATATTTTATTTATTTTATTTTTATTTATTTACAACTAGATTAAGTTTGACGTTCTAGACAGGTCTTTAGACTAAGTCGTAAATACTATAATAGCAACTGGTTTCAAAAAAACCTCGCTCTGTCGTGGAAGCAGACGTCAAGGTGAAACAGGTTTCGCATAAAATATTTAGTTGCGTCTTACATCTTCATCGATGGTGACTTACCCCATAACCAGAGCTTCGATAAATGATAATCCCGTACGACTGGCGCCGACAACCACTATACTATTGTTTACGTACACTTTGGGCATACTTGTCAACGGACGTTCTAATGTCCACAAGGCAAATGGTGTGGCCCTGAAATCGAAGGACAAGTTAATGTACCACATATGCCCAAAAATAATTACATAGCTTATAAACTGAATATTCATATATTAGTCTTATTAATAAATATTAATGAGTTTTATTGTATTCTATTAATGATTACATTCACGCGTAGTAAAACTTTAAGTCATTTCTAGAAAACGAAGATTTCTTTGAAGCTTAAAAGCTGGCGGAATCTATGATTGACATTTGCCATACTGGTACATTCATTCTGATATGAATCATCGTGTCGTCTGTCTGGTTTAGTAAAAACTTATGGTATTTTAACCGGAGGTTCTGAGTTTGTATTTAAAACAGTAATTCAAGTAAGACAGAAGTTACCTGCTGAAACCTAAGTGTAATGAAAGAAATATACACAAAAACGTTCTTATATTCACTATATTTAAAAAAATAAAATCTTACATGGGTTTAAAGATCACTTCAAGATCTTTATTTCCTCTAACATTGGGGAAGAATTGCCGAGGTAATACTGGTTTCATGTGACTCGATAGAGACATTAAATGTCTGTTAGGACTCTGAATTTTATTAAAAAATTAATTAATTAAAAAATAAATTGTACATTTTACATAAACTAAACTTTGACAGTGATATTTCCACAGATTATATATCAGTAAGTATGGCTTAAAAATATTTTCCTATGCGCTATGTCTGAGTCATGCTAGCTAAAACTATTGTTTCAAATTTATATGAATCAAAATAGAATAAAAACAGTGGCTGTACAACCAGTAGGTCTGGGCCTTACATTTATGTATTTTTTTATGTTTTTTTATTAACGAATGTTTATTGCGCACATAGAAAGGAAATTCTAACGGAGCCGTGATGCTACCTCATGATAGAGAGGAGCACGTTCAAGCTACTAGGCCAACACTACTCATACGAACAAAAAGCTACATACAAATTTACTAACCGCTTCTCCTTTAGCAAAAAGACGACAAGCGTAAAACAGCGTAGTATATCTTGTATATCTGATTAAGTCACGTAAATACCATCGGCCGTGTGGTTCCATTATTGGAGCCATTATACCCACCAAAACCTAAAAATTTACGATACTACTTCCAGTAAATTTTATTCATATATATACCCATAGACGATACGAATTTCCAAGTCCTGTAGGTGTATTACGAAAATCGAACGCCGAAGTTTCGGACCGTAACGAAAGAAAGACGATCTTCGTATTTCGTACTAGACCTAGTTCATTGAGCCATACAAAATCGCTATATAATTCGTAATTGAGATTTAGCGTTAAGCATTACTCCCGTTTGACATACGGAAGTTTTTATTTAAATATAGCATAAGATCTACACGAAGTAGCAAAAGCCACGGCGCTGTAATAATAACATACCGCAGCATCAGTACCATACTTGAAAGGTTCGGGGTCCAAGTCATATTGTGCTCTTATTATTGTTGTATCTTCTAGAGGTCTGAAACAAAATTGTATGTAGTTAAACATATTTAGTGTTTATAAAAGATGTCTGAAGAGAAAGCAATAGCAAATCTCAGCGCCTCAGTGTAGGGCCTGTGCACCAATGGACTTTCTCTGTGCGCATTTAACACTCGCTCGTACGGTGAAGATAAACATAGTGAGGAAACAGGCATGCCTTAGACCCAAAAAGACGACGGTGTGTGTCAGGCACAGAAGGTTCATTACCTAGTTGCCTAGTAAAAATGATCACGGAACAGATAAAGAAATCTGAATCCCAGACCTAAAATGTTGTAGCGCTATTGACAGAGCTCAAGAAGAGGTATTAACGTGAGGCGCTAATTGGAATCGGGGTCTTAATGTCCTACCGATAACCGAAGAACACACACTTCTCATAGTTGAAGAAGAACACTTTAAATCACTTATGAAAGCTAAACATTCTAAACCCTAAACTCTAGTGGTAGCTTTTAATATTTATTTAATTAAATTCTAAACATTTTTATGAAACAATTCTTAAGAATCAGGTACACGTGCGCATGTGCAATAGTTGCTCATTTGACTCGTTCGGTTGTTTACAATTGTTACGAATTGACTCGAATATCTCCTCGAAGTGGGATGGTCGTGTCGAAGTAAAGAATAGACTATAAAAGAAGTTGTGACACATGCGCAAGGGCAAATTACTTTGTTTTAGTTTGAAGTTATACAGTTTATGTAAAGTCAGTGAAGTGAATTATAGTGAATCAAGTCATTATTGGAGTGTTTAATTTCTACCCTAAGAAATAGCCTTATACACCTTGCGCAGCCACGATTAGCGTGATACCAAAAATTATCTTTGTAAGTAAAAAATGTATGACCATGTACTCAGTTTAAGTAATTTCTTACCCCAGTATGACCAAGCCGATCGGCTGATTCTGACTGAGAAGACAAAAAGATGACAACGACGGAATATCAAAGCTATCGTGAAACAAATCCAAAATTTCTGTCTTTCTTGGTGAATTTTCCAGAATGTCTTTCATACTAATAGCATCGTATAGTTCTGCTGGACGTACTCTCACATCCCTAGAAATAAAAAAATATTGGTTTTTGCTATCTACGTAGGATCTTCTCAGTCGTATTCTTCATAACTGTAGGTCGTGTCACTGTAAGGTGCTGCCCCGTTAATGACACAATCTCCACTTTTTTCGGTCGGCTTTGCTTAGCAGAGCTGTTATGAGGAGACCCGTAAGCTCCTGCCCCGCGGCCTTGTGCCTTTATTACCTAACTATATACGTTCCTACGTATGTACTTTTATATATTACTTGTTAAAAACTTAACTAAAACATTATTTAATACAATTGTACTTTTCTATAAAACCTTATTTTGTTTTGTAAATGTTTTGTATAAATTTGAATCTAGATATTTTTTTAAATTGAAGCTGTTTTGACACACAAATAGCAAAATTCTATGGAAAGATAAAATAACTTTCGTAACAATATCATTGAAAATAAAAGAAGACTCACCCTCTAACAGAATTTATGTGAACCACGTAAAGTGTCTCATTGATAAACCTCATCCGATAATTGAACGGTGTTACTAGCTGAAAAAAAAATGCCGAAAATGTTGTGTGTTTCGCAAGTTATTATACAAAAATATTTCTTTTTATCCGTGTAAATTTATAATTCCACTAATTCAACTAGTAGTAACTAAGGTAGTTGAGTAATAAAAATTGAAGAAGACATTTTGTGTCTCTTACTACGATGATCCTTTAACAGATGGGACAACACCTAGTGTCAAAAATTATATTAAGAACAAAAAAATTCACCGTAAAATGTTCCAAAAGCGGGAAGCACGTATGGTTAGTCGGCAAACAGACAATGCAGTAATCTCTATCTGGAAATAGCTCAAACGCCACTTCTAACATATCGAAACCATATCTGAAATAAGTTACGATTTTCAATAGGGTTTTCAAAACCCAATGAGAAATGAGAAATAAAGCCCTCAAATTAATATTATTTAGCATACGTCCGGATGGTATATCCAAAACCTAGAACGCATATTTGACAGGCGATTACGTAAAAAATATTATGTGATTTGGATATATTATACTGCTCAAAACAATTAGCGGAACAAGATTTTTCTCCTTTCTATTGTTTAAACTAAAATTAGATTTAAATTAACTTGTACGCTATTTTTTACCTTGTTAATTTGTTAATTACTACAATTAATAAAAAAATTCAATTTGTATTTTTTTTATAAAAAAAATTAAAATGGCATGTAGACGAAAAACAAAGGACGTCTTTGAATTTTCATTACTTTCTAATCACATAAAACACATTTTAAGCAGTTTTTTTCAATCTTTTGGGTATTAATAGAAGTTGAAGTGAGCCTTTTGGGTATTGTTATTCATTGAGGCGGGGGAGTTTAGGTCATAATGCCAGATCTGACTGAATTGCATGTCTACCGAGCTATCGCTTGCTTGAAGAGGGTCGAACTATGCGTTATGTAGGAAATGATCTAGGAGTCGTAGAAACAGAAGGGCTACCCCTTCTGTTATCTACAGACTTTGGAGCGATACCGTGAGACGGGAGAATACTCACGAAGGCGTGGTCAAGGTCGAAAGAGAAAAACTACACGTTTGCAAGATCGCTACATCGTCAACTGTGCTTTACGTAACCGCACCACAACTGCAAGAGATCTACAAAATACACTAAGGACGGCTACTGGTGTAGAAATTTCCGACCAGACGGTAAGAAATAGGTTGTTGGAAGCCAATTTGAGATCACGCCGACCAGTTCGGGCTGTCCGTCTAACAATTCAACATAGACAAGCTCGCCGACAGTTCGCGCAAAATCACGCTAATTGGCAACTTCGACATTGGAGGCCAGTGCTTTTTACTGACGAATCACGATTCCGTCTAACACGTTGCGATGGTCGTCCCGTGTTTACAGACGCCCAGGCGGGCGATACAGTGCAGCAGCAGTCCAGGAATATGACAAATTTGGATGTGGCTCTGTGATGGTTTGGGGCGGAGTTAGCTTGGACGAGCGCACAGATCTCGTCGTTGTTCCCGGGCGCTTGTGTGCCAAACTTACATTGAAAATGTGCTCGAAGATCATGTTTGGCCCGCAGCATATGGTATGGGCCCAGATTTTCTTTTAATGCAAGATAATGCCAGGCCGCATATGCAGCCATCACGCAGATTACTTACGACAGCAGGAAATCCGTGTAATAGTGGCCTTCCATGAGCCCTGACCTAAATCCAATTGAACACATTTGGGACTTGCTTGACAGGCGCATCCGGAAGCGTCCGATTGCACCTCAAACACTGCAGCAGCTCACTGAAGCGTTGATTGAAGAATGGGAACGAATTCCACAAGAAGATATTCGGAGGATCATACGAAGATGCCGCGTCGTGTCAAGCCGTGATTAGGGCTCAGGAGGCCACACACGTTACTGAAAGCACTAAAGACGAATGTTCAAACGATATAAGAATATTTCTTTGATGGACCTTTTTTATCACCAATTAGTTTTTCGTCTACAATGCACATTTTAATTTTTTTTTAATAAAAAAAATAAAATGGTTTTTTTATTAATTGTAGTAATTAACAAATTAACAAGGAAAAAGGGTACAAGTTAATTTAAATCTAATTTTAGTTTAAGCAATAGAAAGGAGAAAAATCTTGTTCCGCTAATTGTTTTGAGCAGTATATAATCTACTAGCAGACCGGCCATGCGTTGCTGTGGCTAAGGTTTTTGTTTAATTACATAGTAGCAAACTATTCAAGGGAAACGGTAGGAGAACACCAGTCATGGGGACCACCATGCTTTTTTGGTGGTTATGCCATTCAATTGTAGCTTATGTGAAACGTTGGTACTTTCAACACAGCGCCATCTGTTAGAATTGTGACTATCAAATAATAAACAAATATTTTGCAATAAAATAATATTGCGGGTATAAATTGAGATGTAAGCTATCCTATCTTTTAAGTTGGATCAAACTACACACGGTGTGCAAATTTGATTGATATCGGTTCGGTAGTTTAGGAGTCCATAGCGGACAAACAACGTGACACGTAATTTATATATATATTAAGATTATTTCTCAGACTAGACCAGAAAACACTTTAACATTACATTCATATGGTTTGGGTAAAAATTTACCGTTCATCATAATCATGGCGCATAGCAAACAACTCCAATAGAAAGGCATTAGGTGGTCCTACGAAGCGTGTTGGCTGTGGAGGCTTCGCTGGTGATATCATGGGGAACTCGGCTATAAGATGAATAATTTTATAAGCTAGTGTACTATTAGCTAAGATCATAAATAAAAATAATCATAGACTCACAACCCAATAGCGATCCAGTCTTCCAAATCATCAATACAATCGTCTCAATTGTAGAAATGAAATAAAAATGTTACATTTACCAGTTCTTATTTTTAATGAAATTAAGTTTTTTAGAGATGCGACAAGTCATAATTGTTCCACGTGCCTCGTACGAACATTAATTATCTGCGTAACTCGCCAATAGGTTTTAGCTAACTACAATACAATTTATGAAGATGTTTTTTCACCTTACCGAAGAGGGTAGGAAATATTTTAGGAAGCGGGAAGATTTTGACTTTATTTAGCAGTCAGTAGTGACGATTTCTTTCTTCTTTATAATATTAAGTTGTAGTTTGTGTTATGTTTAATTTCGGTTTTCTTTTTTATCTTTTAAGGTTTTACTTACTTTATGTTTTCGGTTTCGTATATTTTGTTTATCAATGTAATCTGTTTCGGCTTTGTATACTGTCCATGTGTTTTCGTTTATACTGTAAATACACTTACATGTCCTTTTCCCAACGTCCTTATCAAGATATTTATTGTCATAGAAGGATTCTCTGCGACGAACTTTTGTTTTTTCATCTTGGCTGAGAAAATAATCAATGAATAGTTCTTTTGTATGACTTTCATTTCTAAATGTATTTATTTATTTTTGTCATACAGGCATCTCGTAGAATTAAAAAAAACAGCACGGTGGATACATACTTAAATCCATTATTTTGATTAAACCCTAGTCAATGCATACCCAACATACCTGTTTTCATAGAAGTACTTAGGTACTTTCATTAACTCTGGGTCTATGTTGACGATATCAAATTCCATTTCCTCTGGCTCTTCGAGAAAGAGATTCAATACGTCGAGTTGGCTAAACACACCGGGTTGTGATGGGCGTGGTGCCTTAACTTCTTGTTCTTTGAACTTTGAGAATTCGTCATCACCGTATACCCAAGTCACCTTTGTATGACAAGCAATTTAATTAAACTTTTCCGCTGCACAATATTAAGTATACAAAGTTAATTTGAACCATAGGTAAACAAACCGGCGCGGTGTTTGTAGTAAACTCCTCCGAAACGGCTGACCGATCTCATGAAATTTTGTGTGCATATTGGGTATGTCTGAGAATCGGACAACATCTATTTTTCATCCCCCTAAATTTTAAGGGTAGTCCACCCCTAAATTTTTTTTTAAATTTTTTGATAAATTTTTTATACAACATTAAAAAATACATACAACCCCTAATTTCCACCCCCCACGACAACCCCTATTTTTTATTATATTGTTTGGACAGCTAGTATATTTATAAATAATGAATAAATTTTTAGTACATTACTGTTGTTCCGTAATCCTTTATTGGATTGAAGGAGGAATCTATTAAAATATTTTACAGCGTTTTATAATGATATTAGTAAATATTCAGCTTAATATGTATCAAAAATATAGTCGTAACATACCCTCGACTTAGTTTCTCTAGACATTGCGCTTGTAAACGACGATTCCTTTTGGGGATCATCTTTTGATTCTAAGAGGCTGTAATTTGTGAAATATATATAAAGAAAACTCTTCCTTACCTATGAACGAATACTAGTGAAAAATATAAATCTTGCGTTGGATGTAGATACTAATATAGAATGTTGACCTTAATTGGAGTCACAAAACTAAATATTATTAAAGAAGAATTTTCAGAATAAATAGTGGTATCCACATACTAAATACACAAAACAATTCTCGGATTATGAATGTAACGGAATACAGTGGTCTCACTCTAATCATTACTAAGGATATTGGATAAGATTCTGAGTCAAGGCTTAACACAACTGTGACTTCCGTATGTCAAAAACGTCATTTTTACAGATACAGACCTGACAGATGATCCATCTACGGTTTTATCTCTAGGTTTTATGATGCGTTCTAAACGCCGCAGACCAGCGAATGGTGATAGATCAAAACTCTCTTCCAGCTCCTCAAAATTTATTTCTGTGTTGAGGCACATTACACCAACTGCCACTTCTTTATGCTATAAAATATGATTCACGAAACTAACCCGTTTATTCAAGAAATGTATCAATCCAATTGTCTTTAAACTAAAGTAGTAAACGGTGCAATAAGATTGATTTAGTTCATATAACAATTAAATATAATCTATGATATTTCAATATTATCTATGATGACAAGAGTGGACCGTATCTGCCTCCGTCTGGTTTCTTCTATGTTTGCCATAGTAATTTTGTATGATATTTTGATATTTTAAGAGTACCGACAGTTTTTTTACGCCGGCTTTTTTATCTCGGCCTACACCCTGTCTTCATTGCCGATGAGTAGGGATGTCTACCGATACAAATTTAATGACGTGGAATACGTGATATCTCATATTCCATAATAAACATATTTTATTTTTATTTTTTTTACAAGTTTTATGGGTTTATTATCAATAAGTGGTTTAAAATTTCAGACTACACTATTTACCTCACAAACAAGCAAGGCTCTTTCTGATTCTGGGTGTCTCGAAATCAGCTCGCTTACGTAAAAATCTCCGTACATCTGACGAAGTCGAACAGAATGTTGTTCTATGATAGGCACTATATCATCATTATCCGCTTCACTGAAACATCCAATTCGGTAAAAAGAAAACACACCGTAATTGTAATTTCAAAAACTCATAAGAATCTAATGAATTTGTCAAAATTATAGTAATTAATTTATTCTCGTAAATTAAAATTCGAAATAAAAACTTCATAAACATTTATATTGTTTATATAGAATAAATGAATTGCGCCAAAAAATCACATTGCCGCGCAATAACTGAGGCCGGCGCTTCTATAGATGCAAAATTTGGTCTCTTTTATTTATACCCGCCTCGCGAATTTATTAAAGATGCGTTCTACAAGCAACCAATAATTCTCAACTTAGTTACAAACATATGTTTTAGCACAGCCATAATATTTGACAGGTGTCGCTAGTGTTGCTATTTAAATTAATGCTTGATAAATTGATTTTCAGGGGCGAATTTTGAGCTTTCAACTTAAAATATACTAACACAGCTCGTCGAATCTTAAGTCTAGGACTGACATCCCCCCTCTCAGCGACTAGCAGCGTCGGTAGCTGATCTCCAGGAACACCTCGTTCCAACGCTTGAACCCGTCTGAATGACGCCTCAGAACGCGACTGCCCTGGTACTAACACTGAAATCAATGTTTAACCTTTTTTTCTTTTAATTATATCTACATATTTTATATAGAAGGGATGTAGAGAACAATAACGATGATTGCCCTTAAATATGCAGATTTTTAAATGTATGTATTTTAATTTTAAGTATGCAATAAGTTTTGCCTGCGAGCGCCAAAAATATTGTATAAGTATTGAAGCATACAAATACAGGGGTTTAGGCTCCGAATATGATTTTGTTCCTTTCGGTGTCGACACCCTTGTTCTTTGGGGTCCCAGCGCTATCAGGCTTTTTAAAGAAATAGCAAAAAGGTTAGTCGACATCACAGGAGACCGAAGAGCTGGCAGCTACCTCGGACAAAGAATTAGTCTAGCTATTCAAAGGGGGAACGCTGCCAGTATCTTTGGAACCTTGCCTAAAGGAACTCCTTTAAATAATATGTTTTAGTTATTCTATTTTAAGGTTAGTTAGTTATATTAATGCAGTATTAAAGTAATCCAGCCAAATGAAGAATCTGAAGAACTGTTAACTTAAGAATCTGTTCTCACATGTATAGAAATAAACGCCAAAAAACAAAGAACGCTATTCATTTCTACTCTATTAAAAAAGAAGACTTACGTGGATGTTCAATAATGGTTCTCATCATTGCAATGTACTGTAGGTAAGGGTCATGCATAAATACAGACTTTAGCATATTATCAACAAGTTCTCGCGCATAAACTGGATTCCAACACAGCAGGTGCAGGAAAATCGTGTTCCGTGAATTTAGTTCTACATATCTGGAATACGTTTTAGGGTTTAAATTAAAATAAATGTAAAAAAAATATTATTTTTTATGGTATATGTTAAAAAAAAGTGTTGGCTATAAAATTTAATACAATACATGTTATATACATGTTTCTTTTGATAAAAAACCGTATATGAATAAAGAAAAGAATAAGTACAAAAATAATTTAAGCGCTTTTAACAAGGTTTTAGCCTTATAACCAGCTCAAACTTGGTTGAAAGTTATCTTTAGAAACAAATACCATACTTATATTTACTCCATACAAAGTCTTCCCACGCGGCAGGGTTGACAGAAGGCACAAGAGGATGATCCTTTAGAGCAAGTGCACCTACTATTGTCCCGTTTATATCTAACTGGCATATAGTTAAAACACAATTTTTCCTGAAATAATAACGCTGAAATAACTAACATCTGCTTCTAAGTTACGGCACTTCAAACAATTAACTAATATATTAATACTTTTTTGTGTAAATAAAGAAACAATTTTTTTTAAAAGGATGTCTAATAAAATGTTATAGAAACTTTAATTACTGTAAATTATGTAAAAATAAGTCGTCGCAAATGTCGTCATGGACAGAAGACAATCATGCCATTGCCACGTGCCGATAAAATTACCTACCATATCATAAAATTTGATACCAAAGTTAATAAGATTCTATTTTATTATTTCATTTATTCAAATTAATTTTGTCTAGTATATATACTAACAGTAGATAGTTTAAATCAGCAGGACCAGAAATACGAAAATTCAGAGACATAGATTCATTGACCAAAGTCAAAATAGCAGGAACATCATCAGGTCCTGCTAAACGCACACTTCCTAAAGGCAACGCCCGAAATATACGAGATACCATTTCCTTAATATTTGGCCCTATCCAATTTGTAGAAGAATCTTGTTAATCTGACAGGAGTGTACTTTTTGACAATGTTTTTTTTTTCAAATTGAAACAAGTAGTATAGATAATCTGCGAGAACGAGAATGTATTTTAAAGAAATTTAAAGAAAATGTTGGAATTCGTCTCACCCCTTCTACAGTACTACTTACTATCAAACATCATATTATTCGGATATAAAATTTTCCACTTTAGACCATCCGTGGTCCAAAGTTTTCATAGACTGGTTGGTTTCATAGATGGTTTTTTTGTCATATTTTGCACTAGAACAATTGCCCGTCGCTTTGTCTTCCAATATTTAATATCGCACATATTTATGCACCAAATTATATAACCAAACCATTAAAGTATGAATGTTTCCTACATAGCCCGGGCCACCCACGACGTTTCGCGTGACCGTGGACTAGTTGGGCAAACACAAACGAAAAACGCCATCATTATACCCCCCATACTTTCCAAGATTATAAGAGAACGTCTAAGATTATGTAAGATAGGTCTTATTACGAAATAAACACAAATAATTATCGAATAGTTTATTTATCCTGAAATTCATACTTGCTGAATTTAGATACATGAAATTAGTAAAAAGCAAATGACAACTAATCGATTGCTATCGTCTAAATAAAATAATTTAAATTTTGAACTAATCCTTAAAAATAAATGACTTCACAGTGGATCTCTATGGGCGAACGCTAAATGAAAGTCGAATTAACTAGGAAAAGGTAAAAAATTGCAAATATTTACAAATAAAGTAAACCCATGACCCACATTAAACAAAATAGTTTGAATATTCGATTAACTTAATTGGATATAAAGTTAGGTACGCTATGTATTGCTAATTTAGCTGTAGGCGGACATAACCGTAATAAAATTTGCGACACGCTTCACGAGAGCTGATTGGGTGATCGCTTTAATCATATTATTTTTAAATTATTGCATACACAAAATTCAAATAAATCTTTTGGCATATAATAGTAATATTTTTTGAAATGATTCTTATGTTTATATTCCATAACTTGCTTGATAAAGTGCTATCATAAATTTCACATCATAGAAAAAAATAGTTTGACAAAACTCGACAACTTCAAGTATTTCAATCGTGAAATAAGTAAGATTTATGATTAAATCTTGTTTACACAATTTATCTTTAAAACAAGATCGACCAATCAGCGTTTGCTTACTATACGAAAGACCTGTAGAAATTTTGAACTATTATATTTAGATTAAATCATAACTTAAAAACAAGACAGCCAAAAACCATACTGCCACGATGGCCATAATAAGTAGATGCGCAGAATCTGAATTTTGTGGCACTTTAATTTCATGTCAATTAATCTACTTGTATATACAAAGCATTCGGTAACACATCTTCGGCTCAGTGAATGTTCTCGTAAAATCTATCAGATAATTTTACTCCTAACCGTAATTCTTAAATATTTAACACGATTCTAAATCCTCTATAGTGAGATGTCTTTTACGTGTAAAAAAATATCGTACGTAATAATCTATTTCCCTACATTAGTGTAATTATGTATAACATTATACGAGTATTGATAAAACCATTTGAATACTTACCCTAGAAGCATTGGACATACTTAGTTTTATCTTAGACAAACGTTTTGATAACGCTATACGAATGACGCGTCTCTCTTATCTGTGGTATTGTTTAGGAAACTAATCTATGGAACTTTTAAACGTTAATTAGTATATATGTAAGACTACTTTTAAAATATTTACAATTTTAGGGTTACATTGCTTATCTTATATAATTAATGCACACAAGTTAGCGAGTACTAGTTATTATATATTAAAGACAAATTCCGATACACCAATGTCTAATGCTTGATTTTCAAATATCAATTTATCCCTACACTAGAGTTTCGAGTAACTCTAGTGTCTTTCAGACAATAAATCTTGACGAAACATTTCTTGCGACAAAACTAGACATTAAAAAGGGAATATTTTATTTATATCTATAACACTTACACTTATTATATCGCCAGTGTTCACTTGACTTTTCTCCTATTAACTGTTATGATATTTATCTTACCTCAATCAAAACTTTGAACATTAATACATCCGAATTCGCCGTTTGAAAAATATGTCCTATTAAAAATATGTGACAAATAACCTCATTGTGAATGTCAAACTACATAAATGTTTTATTACAATGTCATAATAACTGAAACTTGACAATAATGTACTAAAGTAAAACGGGCGGCAGCGTTATTGCTATTTTACCTTATACACGGCCAATTAACAGCTATTTAAAAATGTAGTTTTTACATTTTTAAATAGCTTTTAAATTGCTTTTGATTGTTCTAGCATAAGTAGGCTAAGTTACCATTTTAGTAGTAATAAAGGTTACTTATTAAATATACAGTATAAGACCATTGCGGTTTCACGAATAAGCCTTAATATTTAATACAAAGCATCATACTAAATGATATGCAATACGATTCGTTACGTTTCACACTCACTTTGTGAAACGTAAGTTCGGCAAATTCGCATTCAAAATTTCATGGATATCATATAGATGTATACTTATATTTTAAGACGTGATTTTTTTTGTTCTAATTGAAATTCTGTATAGTAGGTTTCCGTGGGGAAGATATAAAAAATTGATTCCTTATGCATGAATATTTTGATATAAGCCTTTATTGCTATGTTATCTACCACAATGGTTCTTATCGAGTCTGTATTGGTTTGTTTAAGAATATTTTGGGTTTTAACCCAAAAATGTCCTTAGCCCTTTGCGTACTTATTCTAGTACAAATTATTCGACACAAGTGTTATACAAAGACAGAATATTATAAAATGCACCTTAATTCGAACTTAAACACTATTTAATGAATTTAAATATTGATACAAATGTTACCATAGTAAACAAAAATATTTTTTCTTGTATTAACTAAAATCTAATTATTATTTATAAAAACATTATGGCAAGTAATATTTACAATTTGTTATTGTAACAAAAGTACTAAATACATTACTATCGAATTAAAACCAGCTTATTGATTACAATTCAAAACAAATTTATTCGCTAGTCAAATATCTAATTTTAATAATTGTAATATCTAAGTAAACTTGTTTTATTTCAATAAGTGATACTTAAAAATGTTTTGGCAGATTACCAATAAATGTTATTTTTACCGTCAATTCAACCCATGTAAAATCGGCCCGTAATTAAATCGATATATTCAAGTTATACTTAAAAGTAATTTATTAATTTTATTATTTACAAATTTCTATACCGTATACCGTGCCGTATTGTTAAACATGTTGAAATTTTTCCGTATGGAACCTTTATAAAAGAAAACTCTACAATAATTTAAGAACAGACATGAAAGAGTCAATAAAACGAATGTACGAATTTTGAATAATAACTCTTTTGAGTGTATAAAAATGATCATTATTGGTATTCGTAATTCCTGCTATCTACTAAGGGAGCGTTCAAGTATTATGTAACGAATTTTGGGAGGGGGGTCCTTTTGTAAAACGTTACGATGCGGGGCGGGGATTGAATTACGCGTTATTGTTAATTTTATTTTCTACTTACAACACATAATAGTAACTAAAGAGTCACTAGGTGGTCACGAAACGTTTTACTATACTTGGGTACTGAAAAACGGCGAGTTACATGGGGGGGGGGGCAATAATCTTCAAAAATTGCGTTACGTAATACTTGAACGCTCCCTAACAGCTGAGTAGCAACCCAAATATTATAAACGTAGGTTAGGTAATCTAACATTAATTTATATAGAATATTTTATTGTTACAATAATTTCTATCCAAATATGATATTTGGTATATACCAATAAGAAATAATTCATGTAAATTTTGACATTGTTATTCAAAATTCACTCCGTTAGATTTTTTTTTTTTTTCAATAAATTGCCCATGGCAAAAGGTACCCCAGATTTTCTAACTTGTTTATATTTTGATGACGACGCTCATATTTACTGTATTTGATTTTGGAGATGTTGTTAACATGTTAAATTAGAAAGAGGCGTGGTCCAAACACCAATTAAATCGATAAAAAAAGATTATAGGGGAAAGTATTTGTTCGACTTTTTATCTACGTAAATATGAATCCAATCGGAAAAATTTCAATATTTCGGGACATTTTCATATGAGATCTTATAGTATACGAAGCCTCAATATTTCCGTAAAAACAATACTCAATATATAATTACATTCAAATAATCTTGACCTCCATTAAATAATGTTTCCTTATTTAGAAAATAATTACAAATTAAATAATCCATTACTTTGATTACTGTCCACGGACACTTCAAAATATATCACCAGACATAACTGTCAATGTCAAATTTCATAGACAAAATGGATTGAAATGTTGCACCAATCACATTTTGGAATACGGTTTTAATATTACAACTAATTTAAACTAAGGTTATTTGCTTAGAAATATTTCGAGATATGAGATGAAATAATATAGATTTAATAATTTTCGATTGTGATATATTTACTGCCTTGCGATTCTGCAACTCACTTTTCGAACTCTCAAAGCTCTCACTGCTTCACGACCGATTTAAGCGCGACCGTCGCTGCGAAAACCGCTGTGAGAGTTCGAAAAGTGAGTTACAGAATCTCAAGGCTATAGTGCGGTTCCCCACTCTTGATTTATTCAGCTCCTAAAAGAGAAAGTTTTGCTATAATACTAGAAATTAAGTTTGTTTCACTTTAAAAAAAATAATTTGTAAACTACACATCAATTTATGGAAGATCATGTTTTCAACATCCCAGAATTTCATTAAAAGTTGCAAGAATACAAAATACACTCCTACATGTATATTGAATATAATGTAATAAATTTTTTATTATTTTGATTTACGTAGGGTCTTCATATTCAAAGCTTCATTAAAATTTAAATTACTGTTAAAAAGAATAGTGTTACCTTTTACATCACTTAGCAGTTTTCTGTTTGGGGGGCGTGGTGGGCGCCCCGCCCTGCTCTGCGGATGCGCCGATAGAGACACCCTCGCTGTCCACTTCCGTCTGGAAAAAATATCAATTTACTAAAGTTATTTGTAACGCCCTATATTTCTATCCTTTTTCTCATCCCACCTTCGAGACATAACCTTCTCTTTCGCACCGCCTTGGTGTTGTAAGCTCGGAATGTTCGAGTTTTTTGCTCTCACGTTGTCTTTTTACTATGTTATATTAATTGAAGTTATACTTCTTTAGGCACGTTATGAAAAATTGATGAGAGTGAAATTTTACGATGCGTGCGCACCGTTACACAAAATTATCAGTATGAAGTTGCCCAGTAACGAATTCTTTTTAAACTAGCCGGGCACTGAGCGTGCGCGAGCGAGATGGGAATAAGACAGTCTACAAGTAAAAAGAAATAGAATATGCGTGAAGTTAGCAGCTATTCCAAGAATTTTGACCAATGACCTTTGTAGTACCTTTTAAACAAATAAAGGAGTTTTAATTATTTTTTCAAAGAAATTTAGCAATGCTTTCTCGTAACAAAGACCTATTGTTACTTAGTTAAAAGGTTATGAAAACATACCTAGTTATTAAATTGAATGAATAATATAATAAATAATAATAATAATTATTAATATTAATTAATAATTGAATAATATACTAATTATGATTAAATTATTTACGTTAAATATTTATTATTAATTATTTAATATTTAAAAAAAAATTAAGAATGCCATAGAAGTATAACTTCTTACGCGCGTACATAAGTACACGCACCCTTTTTTTTATTTGAAAATTCTAGATTTCCCGTTTTCTCATATGAGTGCAATACCTTAGATCGGTAAATCCTTTTATCATATTTCTTATATATTTTATAATAATTTGTAACCAGGAATCTTACGACAGCGATATCCCACGTGTTATTTTTTCTATCAAGTACAGTAAAATCTCTTTATTCGCGGGGTATACGCGTTCCATAAATATGCCGCGAATACAGAAACCGTAAATACAGAATGGTAATTTATATGGGTTTATAGGGGATACGTTCCTAGGTGCCAAAATAAAAAACACAAATATCAATTTTTTTGATGTTATTGAACATTTTGATTATATAATCATTATCCTCAGGCTTAGGCAATGGTTTGAAGAATTTTGTTATTTTCTCTTGCTTGGCAGTTTTTAATAGCTCCTTCAATTCAGACTGATACTCAGCAGTCGCATTAGCAATTTGCCTCTTAAAATTAAGACTTCGTTCCATAGATGGATCAATGTTCATAAAGAAATTGCAAAGCTCATTTGCCATTCTTAAACCAAAGTCAAAGTTTGAACTTGCACGGATTCTTCTTCATTTTCCGCAGTCAGAGCAGGCCATAGTTTTTTCCAGCATGACTTCAATGTGTGTGGTGTCAGTTCGTCCAATGATTCTTTTATGTTTACGATGCATTTTGCTACGTCAAATTTCTTCCAGCATTCCATAACATTCATATCAGGATTACACTCCATATTATCTATATGATATTGCGTTAAACACCTATTGGAATTTTGTATGAAATTTTAGATCCGCGAATAAAGAAATTGGGTTGCATTATTTTTAATCCGCGAATAGTGAAAACGTGAATAAAGGAAGCGCGAATAGGGAGCTTTTACTGTAGTTGTTTTTAGTTTTTGGGGTAGAAACACAATAAAAAAAATAATGTATTTTTGAGTCACTATGTTTAATACTTACTTTTTCATCTTTACTAGCAGTGCTCTTGGGCGAACTGCTGCTACCATTAGCGTTGCTCTCGTCATTATTCTCAGCTGCCTCTGTGCTTGTGGTACCTGGAATTGATAGCGTTTTTTATCAAATAACCTATTAACTGAATCATTCAATTTTAATACAGGCTTCAGAACTGACATAATGATTTATTTATTAACACTTCGTTACATTTATAGAAAAAGCAATTAACATAATTCATAAAAATTATAAGGGATGAAACGGGAGGCCTAATCGCTAACAAGCGAGACCAGGCAACCCTAGTAAGGAAAAAACATTAAAAAAAAAGAAATATGATGGGGAAAGTACCAGAAGTGGATTAAATCTAAAAAAAAAATTATAGAATCACCAACCGTAATCTAAAATAATACAAAAAAAAATTAACTGAAAAGCTAATCTACCGGATTCATGAATTGCGATGCAATTCAATGATTATATTCTATATGTCACTGACAGAAAAAATGGGTTGCCAGCTCAAATAATTAGGGAGCGTTCAAGTATTACGTCACGCAATTTTTGGAGATTATTGAGACGTGTAACGCGCCGTAACGTTTTTCTGTACCCAAGTACAGTACTGTAACCAAGTATAGTAAAAGTTTCGTGACCACCTCGTGACTCTGCACTATGTTCTGTTAAGAAAACAAGTAAAATTACTTACCTGGCTGTATATGATTAGCATTTCCGCGGTCAGCTTCGTGTTCCCGAAGTACGGCATCCAGATTGTAACGACGTCTATATGAAACGAAGAATGTACGCACATGGGCCTCTGTTTTGGTTCCTAGCGTTTCAGCAATTGCTTGGAAGTCTTTACCTGTTAATATTTCAACATTTAAGGCGATAGGAAATATGATTAAGAATCCAAATAAAATATCGTGACCATTATTTTTCTAAACAGGCAAGTAGGTGAAGACAGTTTTGTGAGACACGCCGTCGAAATTTTGGATCTGAACAGATATTTCTCGGCTTTAACCGGTATTAACCGGTATTCTCACGATATTTGCCTTCGCCGCAGGAGCGTCGAACGTACGACTTCAGTGGTAAGAGGCGCACGCTTAAACCACTGCTCAAATTCAAACCTACTCGCACCTACCCTGTTTAAGCAACTCCATGATATTGACAGTTCAAGATCAAGTCAGCATCAGTACACCCTAACAAAAACCCAAATGACATCTAAGGACACATTCTTATTTCGTTATAATTCTCAGAGATAAATTCGTAGATTATCGTAATTCGAAAACTCAATACTGAAATTAAAATGGAAAATCTTCTTAGATTTTTAAATTACATGACTTATTTTATATCACTGATAATACACATTTTATTGCGAACTGTATCGTGCTATTTACCCAATATAAATGTCACCGTAAAATTGTAAACACCGTTAGATTGTAATCTATCTCGCGAGATTGTAAACTGTCGAAAGATTGTGAACCTCAGCGTACTGCTTACAATTTAACGTATTATTATTCGGTAGATTATAATCTATCGAAGTGAAACCGTCAAATTGTGAAACGGCCATTTTCTACTTTTCTATTGGTTATAAGAGATGTGACATTCTCGTTTTCTATTGGTTATAAGTGATATGACATTCTCGGTAAATTAATCGAATCGATTATTATCATTTCCTCATTTGTTAATGAGGAAATAATTGAACATAATCGATTCGATTATTGAATAATTTCAAAATTTCCGGAACCCTACACTAATTGAAATATGAAGTTAATGTAATGTATGTACATTTGACAAGTAATGGTTAAATTAGTTTTAACTTTTAAATTAACAAATGAGGAAATAATCGATTCGATAAGGTTCTACTTTAAAATTAACAAATGAGGAAATAATCGATTCGATTAATTTACCGAGAATGTCACATCTCTTATAACCAATAGAAAAGTAGAAAATAGCCGTTTCACAATCTGACGGTTTCACTTCGATAGATTACAATCTACCGAATAATAATACGTTAAATTGTAAGCAGTACGCTGAGGTTCACAATCTTTCGACAGTTTATAATCTCGCGAGATTATACAATCTAACTGTTTTTACAATTTTACGTTAACATAAATATAACGACTTCGTTTACCCGTAACAAAATATTAGAACTCCTTCCGAAGTCTACTTCGTCCCTTTGTACAAACTTTAGAGAACATTAACATTTTTAGCGGCATTATTGAAGTGAAACTTTTTTAGGCGCATGAGGGTAAATTTTTTACGGAACGTCACGAAGATGTGCAGCGTTTTTGTCGAAGAAAAGGGATACCTTACAGAAATTCTATTTTTAAAGTTATAATTCGTAAATAGAATTTATGGAATATTACTATTTTATATTTTTTGCAAAATAATTTATTGAAATCTCAAATGACGAATTGTAAATTAAAATGACACGTGTTTTTACTATAGAAGAAATAATGACAATTAAATTCATTAAATTCCTAACATACCTTCCTCCCTCTAAGTCTCATAAATCTAAAGTTTTAGATTTGTATACATATGAACAAGTGTTAAAAATTAGTTTGCCAAAGAAATTTCACTTCTGACGTGTACTTTGTACGCACGCACTTTTTTTTGTATTAATGATATTGATACTATAACTACTTTTATAGATACATAAAATCATATAAATTTTTGTTCAACATAATATTTAGTACCAACAAGTAAAATAGAGAAAAGAGATAAATAAGTGATCATACCATATTTCCGCACAGCTGTTACAGCCATTAGCAACTCCTCATTGGTCCAGCGTGAGTTAATCTTAGCCGGAGGTTCACCTGGCCTGTATTCCTCCACTCCCAAATCGCCAACTTTACGTTTTATCGCGCTTAACTGTTGTTTATTTTGCTGTACCTAAAATACAAAATAACAACATCATAATAAAGAAAATTTGCATTTGTGCATATCTGGATTATCCAAAGAACGTTGGGATAGCAAAGCTGGTTATAATGTGTGCAGAATATCGAAACCTATGGTTTAAGGTGGCGGTTCGCCGAACGAGAACGAAAAAAACCGATTTCATTATATTGTTTGTGGATTGGGTACGAATAAACTCTTGTGAAAATTTCAGCGGCGGACGGAACAGCGAGATATTTTAGCTTTTCTCTCGGAAGCCGACGTCTCCTAAACATAAACAATTTGTTCATAAGAAACGATTTTGTAACAATGATAAACTTATGTTATACTATCATTGTATTTATTATAAGGATAAAGTGTGCGTGTGATTTAAACTCGCACTTGGGCAAACCGCCACCTTACAGATGGAGCGTTAGCGTATGAAAACTATCGCGTCTTACTTGTCGTTTGTAGGATATAATTTCTCTATCCATCGCTTTGAGCATGGCCTCGCCCTGGTTTACGAGCCCCGGTTGGGCGGCGTCCCCGGGCTGAGGGCCGGTCGCCATGGCAACCAGATCATCGTGGTTGATGTAAATACCACGAGGCAAGCGATGCTTGTACCGCACTTGTTTAAAGCCGGGCCCGCGTCGCCCGCTCGGCCCACACAGCGGTCGCATACTGCCCGTGCGTCTGTTACATCATCAGCGTTCAAACAACTGTCTACTGTCTCCTCTTCACGGGATCCAACATAGACCACGACTACCAAACTACTAATACTCCTAAGCTAAATAACTTTGAAATATTCAGTAATCGAACATTGATATAGCCTATTATTGTACCAAATAACGTGGTACCTACGTGTTATATAAATGTGAAGTTATAGTATTAACCAAAGCCGTATAATTGCTATAAATGGTTATTATTCAAACAATCTGTTCCAGATGAAACAATTTAAAACATAGTATACTTTTTAACCTCATTACTGACCTAGTGTCTAATGTCTATATAGTCTAAACTACATGCAATGAAGACGCGAGCAAATCATAAAATTAATAATAAAAAGTGTTAGCGAGTTTATAATTTCAAATTTCCCTATAATGAGCTATGTTGGAAATTTCAACTGCACGACTACGTGAAGAGGAGTCAAGGGGACATGCAATCCTTACGTTATTGTAACTCATAACGCCTCGATAAAACGCAATTACACTGAAGGTTACAAATTTTTTCAATTATCGAGATACGTGAATTAATTAATTTGTCCTAATTATAAATACCGGTGCGAGGCGAAATATGAGCAAAACTTGTTTTTAAAATGTTACCGACCTGGCGTGCACGAGGCATGCCTGGCAAAGTTTCTGGGAGTTGTGTTGCGTTGTCTGGGTGCATAGTATTCCGCACACTGTGCACCATTTTCCTGCCTCACCGCCGTCGCCCTAAACCCCAATAACACTTTACTACCTCAACTATTACCTCACATACTTCATTTAAAAACCCATTAGAAATACATATTCTGCACACATTTAGAATCCAAGGGGCTGTTAAAGGAAGCATGCGGGATGTGAAAGGAAATAATGGATAGGTGACTTCTGGACGTTACATGCAACAGTATGTACTTTCGCGTGAATTTCGATTTTCCATATCTTAATGAATTGTTAAACATGTATCGAGGTAAGGATGGGAGACAGTTTGTAGATAAAAATGCAGAGCAGTGAAACTTAATGAAGCAAAATTAAGCAACGAAAATAAATAAAATTTACATAAATTTAGGTATTTGAACAAAATGAAAGCAATTCCGGATTTCAGATGTGGATTTAGGTCTAGATTTTCATAACAAAATTATAAACTATAAGCTGAGCAGCGTCATTTCGTTTTTACTGCAAAACTAATAATGACAATAAAAACGGGAGAATGTTTTTTCATGATGCAATGTAAGAAATAAGTTCATTGCTTTTTCTTAGTACAGTTCCTGTTACGCAACACCAGTACTTTGTTAGACTTGTGACAAATTTGTTCAAATATCTTATACACAAAGGTGCAAGAAAATGACTCATATGAACTGAAAAATGGGACTGCGTGAAATAAAATGACTTGCAATTAAGGATTGGGGAATTGAACATGGAAACATCAAATAGCACACCAATAAATAGATATAGTGTGATTAGACAAACATCCAATTGAATTCAGGGGCCCACCTCGGCTTGGCCGGCGCGACGTGAGGGCCCGCCGGCCGTAGTTGGCTTGCTTCCACGGACAATACCACGATGGTAAATCCACTTCTGTTGTTACCAATAAATTGTATCCATCAACATTTCAAATATTGTATAATACAAGTCATTTATGCAGAGTTCAGTTAATGATAGCTAATTTTAATGAGTATATGTCATTGTATTCTTCTATAACCAAACTACTCTGCATTTTTATTCACATAGTTAATAAAAGTGGAATAATATTGGACAATCCAGATACACAGGTCACATTTCAAAAAATGGGTACACAAAATGGGGAAGCAAGCATTACAAACATACCTTCTCATCATTGTCCGAATCCTTGTCTGAACCGCCCGGTTCGGAGGCACCTGGAGAATCCTTCTTAGCTGTACCAGAAGCTGTAGCATTACGGCCATCACTAACCACATCCATTAATGAAGTTCTAGCGCGGGTTTTCTTCCATGAGTAATAATATTTCACCAGTGATGCTATTGATTTATCTGGCAGCTAAGAAATATAATTATTGAAATTTGTGTATAAAAATGGTGTCTATGTAGGTATAATTATGAATACTAGATATTATAGATGTATTATAGATGTATGTATTCTGTGTATATATATCCTAATTACATTATAATTAGGATATATCTACACAGAATACATACCAAGTATCCCAAATAAGTTTATATAAACATACTACTCAGTGGTTTTAAAAAGGCAGTAAATATAGTTTCTCACAAGACCTACTTACAGCGTATAAAAATTATATAGCAATCAAGGGATAAGTTCAACTCTTACGATCAATGTTATATAGTAGAACCTCGTTAAGTCGAACCTCGATAAGTCAAAAACCTCCAAATCTCGAAAAAATGTTTTGTTCCCTTCCCTTAAAACATCAAAACCTCCATTACTTGAAATCTTGACCCTCTGTTAATCGAAATAATCACCGAGTCCCTCCAAGCCATTTTGGTACATATTTTCACTCTATAACTCGAAAAATTAAATTTGACCTCTGTATGTCGAACATAGGAACGTTTTATTTTACAACCTTTACAACTTGATCATTTGGAATTTATTATCTCTATTGTTCGAACAAAAATAAGTTACCGACTTTAAGAACTTGCCGCCAATGTGAGTACACTATTGTTTCTTAGAAAACATTTTAGGAGTATACAATAATAAACTCTTTATGTCGAATCAAAATCCGCCTCAGTCGAAATCCTCCATAAGTTGAAAACTCTATAACTCGAATTTTTTGGCGTCTCCCTTGATGTTCGACTTATAGAGGTTCTACTGCAAATGCAAACCTAACTATACTGCATAGTTTCACTTAGTTAAAAATGTTTTAAACCACTTAAAAATTGCCTTAAGGTAGCTAATGTTTCATTACACTTACCATCTGCCGTATCCGATGAAAACTCTTTCCATGAAACTGGAATGCTTGCTCAAACAGCACCTTATCTTCAACTGTCCATTCATCAGGAAAAGGAGTAAAGTTAGCCAAGTCCATAGATGCCCTGCTGAGATCATGCTTATGCCAAAACAGCATACCCAAGGCCTGTTCACCATTATATCCATACTTTTCCTTTGCTGTTGTTATATACTCATCCACTAAAAATTTTTTCAAATGTATGTTTAGGTTAAGTGCTATTAGTTTAAAGACTATGTGTTTATTATTTTGATAAAATATCAAATCAATAATGTTGCATAATATATCCATTTAGCATTTTAAATGTAATATCTATACTATATTTATGTAAGGATAACTACAAAATATTGTAATTTTAAAATTATAAATAAATAAAATTGGACCTTTAATAGTTTTTTGTTTAAGTTTGGAGTAACTTACACTTGGTATCAGATATGTCAGCTGTTGGAGACCAAACAAGTAATGCCCGGTCCGATATTTGGTCTGGTTTCCTTTGCTCAACTGGCTCCAACTCAGGGCAGACAGCCTGGTAGTCACGGCCTACTCTGATTTTCTCAGCTGCAAATGGCACTACTGCTTGGTTTTGTATAGGATGTTTTGATGGGATGAAGCGCAGCATGATGAATGATGAAAGCATAAAAATAAAGCATGGGGTAAAATCGGTGTAATATAGCGATTTATTAGATAATGGTGTTTGCAATTTTAAGTTAGTACGTACATTTACTTACGCCCTTTTTGTCATGCATCAAAGAAAATAAGTGTAATAAAAATAACATTATTTTATGAATATATACCAAAAATATCCTACCATTTTCATCTTCTGAGCTTGAATCTGGGCTCCCATGCCCATTAGGGCTTGGCCCTCTGGAACGCTTCCCGTTACGAACATCGTTACTTCTTTCAGCTAACACCATGATTGTCACGTACAATACTTATTATCACACACTTCTACAGTTCACTTAGGTATTAATTACACACATAAACAAACGTTCCTCTCGTCAATCAATTAAAATAAAACAAGGCCAATAATTAAGAATAAAAAAGCTCCGCACTTCAATTCTACAATTCAAACGTGATTCAAACCACCGCATCAATACTTTGACAAACCAGCTTGAGGCCGTAATGGGTCATTTAACAGCGTCTGTAGATTGCGCATTCACTTTTGAGGAATTTTTCATGCTTATTTTTATTCCAGCTATCATAATTTTTAAATGTGAACTTATAAAAATAAACTAGTGAAACATAATTAATTTATTTGTAATAACCATTTACCAAGAAACAATCAATTCTATTAATTTTACAACGGCAACATTATAAATACAGACGGCTATAAAATTTCCAATACATACTCTCTTAACTTAATATACACTTACTATCATAACAAATCAACTTGGCTATATTTAAAGTATTTTTTATGAAATATTATATGATATATAGTTCACAATATAGTATTAAAGCGGCTAAGAAATTTCAAATTTTATAATAATTAACTAATTAAAATTATCAACTTAAAGCTTTTGTTTTTTTCTACAAGATGGCGTATCTGACCGTGTTATGCTGAATAGCAAACAATTGAACAACAATTACTTTTCCTTAATTTTAAAAACCACTAAAGCAACTTATAACATTTTAAGAAGCTTATTGGACATTGGTGCTTTTAATTTGTATAAGTGGTATTTATGTGCATTATAAAAGAGCCATACGTCATCATTTGAGAAAAAATTAAGGAATCGAATGAGTGGAATGTGGATATATTATAACATCAACCAATAAAAAGCAATCAATGAACGACTGAGTTCTAAAGGCATCGTTATCTGTAATTATCTCATATCTTCATACATGTCAATAATACGATTGGTGATATATACCGATTACCGTATATGTATACGAATTATACAATATGAGTTTTGACATTTCTATGTCATTGCTAAAATAACGTGTGGATAAAAAATTCAAAGAATTTATTAAATTAAAATTTGAAAATGCTAAGAAAATTATACTTAACGTTGACATACATGTATATAAAGCCAAGTCATTATTAAAGGAAACCCATTTGAATACTATACAAGAAATAATGGTGCTGTCGTAAAAGAACCGCATTGCCAGTGTGTATTGTTTTGCACAAAATAGCAATAATGTTATATAACAAGTGTTGATTTTTGTTATTAATAAGAATAAAATCATAAAAATGCGTACGGTGGCTTTAATCAGCGGCGGGAAGGACAGCTGCTATAATATGATGCAGTGCGTTGGTGCCGGCCACTCTATCGTCGCACTGGCCAACCTCCAACCTGTCCTCAAAGGTTATTACTGTCATCACTTTACTTATCTATGACGCTATATATGCTTCCAAACAACGTAAACATTACTTTTAATTGATAAAATCAAGTGGACTTTTACAAAGATATATCTTTATAATATTATTGTACTATAAACTTATTTATGCTATTTTAGATGAATTGGATAGTTACATGTACCAGACTGTTGGCCACCAAGGCATTGAATTATATGCTGAAGCAATGGGCCTGCCACTTTATAGAGAAGCAATTTCTGGTGTAGCTGTTAACCAAGGCAGGAATTATAAGCCCACTGTAAATGATGAAGTTGAAGATCTTTATAGACTGCTTCTGAGGATAAAGGTAAAACGGTGCTAAATGCAATAGTAACTTACAAAAGCTCTTCTATCAAAAAGGTTAATTAGGGTATTTAGATAAATCCTTATAATAATTTTCTTCATCACAATATTGGACATATTAAAGTAGTTTATATTGGTTGTTTACTTATTTCTAACCTTTCTTCTAAGTAAAATATTTTAAATTTTGTATTTTTAGAATGAATTGGATGTGGAGGCTGTCTCTTGCGGAGCTATTCTTTCTGATTACCAAAGAGTTAGAGTTGAAAATGTGTGAGTAGTATATAGTTAATTTAAAGCCCTGATAAAATATTGTAGATAATTTTGATATATTTTCAATTAGACCTGTTTGTCCCTGTTTTATATAAAAAATATATTTTAAATTATGGTATCTGTAATGTGCCTGCTATCAACAGTATTCTGTTATTGTATAGCCAGTCTACATAGATAATAAACAATTATAATTTTTTGCCTATATTTTGAACATCCTTACTTATTTTTAACTTTCAGATGTCAAAGACTTGGTTTAATATCTCTTGCTTACTTGTGGAGAAGGAATCAAAAAGAACTTCTACAAGAGATGATATCTAGTGGTGTTGAGGCTATCATTATTAAGGTAATTTTTGTATGAATAACTCTTCAGAAAATTTAAGCTTTGCAAATTTGTAATTTGTAAGCTACAAATAAACTTATATACTAATTTCAGGTTGCAGCTCTTGGCTTAGATCCTAGAGTTCATTTAGGTAAGACCCTTAAAGAAATTCAACCACATCTTCTAGTCATGCAAGAAAAGTATGGGCTTAATGTTTGCGGCGAGGGTGGGGAGTACGAAACATTCACATTGGATTGTCCTTTGTTTAAAAAACGATTGGTGATGTAAGTAGTATTTTATCCTAACCATCCTGTTATTATGATTATGATGTTGTTTATATTTTTAAAATGTTTGTCTACTTACAGAGATGAAAAAGAGTTAATAATTCATACAGAAGACTCAGTCGCTTCAGTTGGCTATTTAAATTTAAAACTGCATGTTGAACCAAAACCTGACTTCAATGGTGAGATCATACTACCTCCTGCTGTTAAAAATGCCTTTGACTTTAAGGATTTGAGTGATTCTGTATTTAGTGATATAAGTGATATAGAAGAATCAGAGTTAGAATCAATTGAAAAGTTAAAAATTGAAGAAGAAAAGAAGCAGAAGGAGTTGAATCCATTAATAAGCTATGAAGGCAATGCCAATATTGGAGCAGACGATGTAGACAATTCAAATGAAGATGTAACTGATGATGGCTATTATTATGATGAAGGGCATAATGAAAATGATAGGTTTCCAGTAATTGATCATAGTTCTATCTATGGTAATGGACAAGGATGGTTTTACATTGGGGGAATTGTTGGAGAAGCTTCAGACACAGCAAAGGCGACAGAAGATGCTATTAATAAATTAATTAGTAGGTAAACTTGTTCATGAGCTTTATATTTTTTTTATTTGCCTGTTTGCAATAATTTCATATTTTTTTACTTTTTATGTGTCACATGTGGGCTGGTAAAATTGATAATTTTATTAAATGGAAACATTTAGCCAGTTTTAATAGTTACATTATCAAATGTTATAAGCGCTGGCATAGTTTTCATTTGCTGACACATGTTGGTAGCACAGATTTGGTACTGATGAGTTAGTAGACTTAGATTCCGGACTAAGCTTAATTGTTTCAATTGTTCTATATATACGACATAAGACAAATAAAAAGAACACTGAAACAGTCAATATAATATTAATAGTGCTAGGTTATTTCATTATGAAAATATACATTAATTTTATCGGATTCTACATGAACAAAAACTTTTTCCAAGCATCAATCCAAATAAATTTGATGATTCAGCAATTTAGTCACTTATATCTTATGAAATAATAAATTTCATACTCAGGCCACAACATGAACATTATGGTATAAATAATAAATTCAAATTCAAAAAAAATCATTTATTCACGTAGGTAACACAATGTACACTTGTGATTCGTCATTAAAGAAATAAATATTAATGCTTCTAATTTTACATTTACTGCCAGTTCACAAATCAAGGGCGTAGAACGGAAGAGAAGAACTGGCAATAAACTCTCCGCCACTCTTTTTAATCGCCATGTTTTTTTTACACAACGTTTGTAAGGAGCTGCAACCATTACACCATGTTGCACATGACATCTTAAGTAATTAATAATAATAACATAAATTAAAAAAAAAGACTTGTCCTCTATCAGCAGTAGGCATGGTGAAATAGGAGCACGCACTTACATTCTTGTGGGAACAACACGCAAACACATAGTCGAAATAATTAACATCACCGCATACACGAATTCAAGTACGACCAGTCACCACAAGTAGCACCCGTTGACGAGTATGAAATAAAAATAATAAAATTATAGAGTTACTGATTTACATTAGTACCCTTCTTTAGCAAGGAGGTTTAAGTATACAAATTTAGAGTAAAATCTTGAAAAAATCAGTTTGAGCTCAAAGTCACCTATCCCCTAATTTAAACCAAATTAAAATAGATGAGTGGCAAAACACAGTTTAAAGATTGTGGCTTTTACAGATTTGCTGCAGTCTAAAGAGTTACAACTGGAAGATGTATGTTCAGTGAACATCTACATGCGCGATATGGGGCAATATGCAGACCTCAATGCTGTCTATGTAAAGGCTTTCAGCTTTGCAAACCCACCTACTCGAGTCTGTGTACAATGCCCTTTACCAAATGAAATAGGGCTTATTATAGATGCCGTAAGAATCACTTATTAAATGATGTGCCTTTGTGTTTTCTCCCACTAAATTTCTTTGAATGACCTAATAATTTTGGTATAGGGAATGATTGATGAATTTTGGTAATTTTTGCCAATATATTGTAAAATCATTGATGCAAAGTATGTAGCAGTAATGTTATTACATATATGTATATATTAAAAATAAATTTACCCATTTCTGAGGTAGAATGTATCTGTTTCACTGATTATAATATCAGAATTTTTTGGTTATCAAAACCAAAATAATTTCACTGAACATGATGGAGCTATGGAAAATTAATTACTTTCATTGTTTAATATAAAGTAATTATATTTCGTTTTAGGTTGCACACAAATGTTTACCGAGTAGTATGGAAGGTGAGAGTAACAACTCAAAGGAGAGAGTAACGATGCATGTTCAAGGCATTTCTCATTGGGCACCCGCCAATATTGGACCTTATAGTCAGGCTGTTAAGGTAATATGTCTGATTTATTGACGGTAGAAAACAAAATATACAAAAAAAATATTTTTTTCTTATAATAAAGAGTATTTGTATAATTTAGTTTAAGGCTTTGGTTATCGTAATTTAAAAAAAAATATTAAAACAGGAATTCACAGCAAGATGGATTCTAATAAAAGCTTTATCTAGTAAAGGTTTATATTATCCTTATGTAGATAGGCGAGGTAGTAGGCACATGTGGGCAAATAGCGCTAGTTCCTGGAACAATGCGGCTAGTGGAGGGCGGTGCGCGTGTGCAGTGTGCGCTAGCTTTGAGACATCTCACGCGAGTCATCAAAGCAGCACATCCCAGGGCGCATATACGGAGTGTCGTACAGGTTAGTTATTTTTAAAATAATTGATTAGGGGAGTGGTTGCAACTTATATTTTAGACTGTATATATTTGGGATACTTATTTGGTAAGTTTATTACGTTATTATTAATGTGTGTGTGAATTTTGTTATTAGAAATCTGCGATAAACATTAAATAATTATATTTATTACTAGATGACCCCGTGAACTTTGTTTCACCAACATATATTTGTGTAAAAACTTTTAAAACAGACCAAAGAGATCAGACCTCATACAGCATACAATATACTAATACTATGAAACACATATTTCTGAAAGCATCTGAAGACACTTGACAACCAAGTGACAATTTTTATTTCTAAAAAGACGTCAAATTTCCTAACTAAGAACGTTAGTTTAGTATGTTTCTTTAATTGTTATTTACGTTTCCCGCCGTTTAAACCTTCCCTGATCTTCCACAAATATTTCAAGATCATAATTAGTTAAATCGGTCCAACTGTTCTCGAGTTTTAGCAAGACCAACGAACAACAATTAATTTTTATATATATAGATAGATTCATTCATTTGATTGAGATATATCATGGACATACTACTTGCAAATGTGTGTTAGTGTTGCTATTATATCGTCTAGATCAGCCTTGCGATTCTGTAACTCACTTTTCGAACTTACACAGCGGTTTTCGCATCGGCGGTCGAGTTACAGAATCGCAGGGCAGTGTTTCCCAATTAGTGGTACGCCTTACTACTATTATACTCTTGATATTTTCTTCGTCGTCTCCGTCGCTCGTCCCTTATTCCTAAGCTGGAACATATTTTATCGTTTCTTAAATAAATTACTCAATATTATGTATGTATTTATCTCGCTTTTGTATACCTAGAGCGTGTGCTACGTGGTGTCGGGCGGAGGAAGAGGCGGCGCCCGCGAAGCCCGCAGGCAGTTGGAGCGGAGGACGGCTGGGGCCATGGTGCAGTGCGCCGTGGTGGGGGCTCTACCGCGCAACGCCAGGCTAGAATGGCATGCGTGGGCGCATACCGATAATAACAGATTCGATTGTAAGTTGCCTTGGATGTATTTTAAAAATGCTACTCGGTGTTAATTAAGTTACTTCCCTTTTTTACTCTTAGATCCTTTAAAGTTTAAACTAAGGCCACTTTTCACTCAAATGGCCTGTTCCGTTTTCTAACAAACGTTCGCGCTGTCAAGATTTTTTTCTGAAGATTTTACGGCCTGGTTACGAGACCTTTTAGCCAAGTGTTATTTTTCGAGCACTATAACTTTTTTATTGCATGTAATTTTACATATTAGTCAAATGTTTCATTTGTTTATTTAAATCCCCTCGGTATTTTTAACGTTCTTATATAATGCATTATAACACTTTATGCTTTTGAGCAAATCAATTTAAAAATGATCATTTTGTTGTTTATGTCTGCGATATCGTCATTACAGAATGTTAATTTTTTTTTATTTATTATACCTATTAAGTTTTGCGGGTGCAGTGTTGTGGCCAAGTTGTTGATCGTGGTAATGAAATGAACTCACGGCTAGCTATATTCAACTAAGACATAGCTAGCCGTGACTAGACATTAACTCAAAATAATATTGTAAATTTGACGAAATCGTGAATCTTTTTAAATTGCAGTTTAGTTATTTTTTTGTGGTATGAAAGTTCCCGTATTACAGATTTGATCGATATCAAACTCAAGAAACTCTAATAAATGGAAATATAATAAACTATTTTGAAACAAACAAGATTGCGAAATTTACAAACGTATGGATAGATTATAGAGATTTTTTTTAAAAATAAATACCTATGTGAATCCTAAAAATAACAAAATGATGTCTGTTTTGTTTCAGATGAGGAAACAGGTTGTAATGTGGGTGAATACAAGGTGGCGATAACTCGTCGTTGGAACTACGAAAATACAGTCGCAGCTATCGTCTGTTATGTCGCAACAGGTAAGGCAGCGTTCAATTATTACGTCACGCAATTTTTGGAGATTATTGACACCTCCCCCCCCCCCCCATGTCACGCGCCGTAACGTTTCGTGAGCACCCAGTGACTCTTTATACCTAAAAGTTACCAATATGTGGTGTAAAGTACTGGAATGTCGAAAATAATATTAACAATAACGCTTAATTCAATCCCCGTCCCGCATCGTAACGTTTTACAAATAGATAGAAAAACTGCGTTATATGGGTGGCGGAAATCGCGTTATAGGGGGGATTACTGTGTTATAGTTATATAACACAGTAATCCCTATAGTATTATAACATGGTACTCTTATAACACATTATCATATTAAGTGATTTTAGTCCCTCGTATAACACGCATGTTCTATATAACGCGGAATTTCCCCCATACACAAACGCGGATTTCACACGTTATATTTCTGTACTGTGACACTTGCAATGATTTGTACGAACATATTTGGTTCATAACATGTTGTTTCTTATAGTCGATATAAATCCCCTTTAACAAGAAGAGAATTTAAACGTGTAACATTTGTCCATAACTCAAGCGCGTTAAGCGAATAATTAACTCACCGTCACTCTATTAAATTTATTATTAAATCGCCAAGGTGTTTTACAATTTGTCCATTACTTAGGTCTGCAAGTCTTCTACCGATTGCTTTAGGTCAATAATCTTAGCACAAACCCATAAGATCGATTAATTAATGTTATATAATAACAATATATTTATAACAAATAGTATGGAAAATCGATGCGTTTCAGCTCTTAAGAACTGACTGACGCATTTACTATGAAAGGAACAAGAATATAATTATTTTGTAACGTTTTTAATATTTAAATATCGTGCCACTACCTTCGGCTACGCACTTGCAAACATCCTAGTATAGCGGGTGTCCATGAGTGGCAGTAAGCACATGCAGGAACTTTAAATTACCCACCTGCTCAATTGTCCATATCATATCTGTCCCATAAAAAAATAGGAACTTTTTTGTCTAATGTCACTTAAAAAAGTTTATTTCACTTGGTTTAACTAAGTCTTAAATAGTAAGCGTGATTTAGCTATGACGTCACAAAATGGCGCATTCAACTCTGTTATTTATCACGTTGTATACAAATATTTGACGGACTAATAGGTCCATAGATAAATAATAGGTCTATATCATATCATTATTAATATTTTTGTAGGATCATCACCTTCTACCTGTCAACTGTGGTTCCCAGACGAAGCGACATGTCGCTCTCATCGCGAACTCGCATCATCCATGTCCAGAGAGGATCTTGAGGCCGTACTTGAGTATGCGCTGAAGAAGCTGCTCAATGAGTGTCAGCAGAGGGAATCGGACCCAGCGCTTAGTGTTAGGATATTTTATCAGGTATTTATTTAATTATAACTTTAGATATAGTAACTGCAGATTACTAGCGTGAAATGGGAGTTTCTTGCCAACGGAATTTATTCTTATAGTTCATTTTTCTTTTTAATGTGAAATAAATTTCTTGTAGCTTAAAATTAACATTTTTTGTCTTCTTTATGCAGAGACACATTTATGTAAATTGCATTATTTTAATTGGTACCGGTATAGGTAGGTACACGTTGCGATGTACCTGTTTTTCCAACCTTGGTGTGCCAATGTTTGCGAGCGGTCGTATAAATAATAATATCTTTATACATATATATATATTATTATATTCGTTTTTCTCGCTAAAACTCGAGAATAGCTGGATTTCACGATTTCACTAATTAAGGTCTTGAAATATTTGAGGGAAGTAAGGAAAAATACTAAAAAAGACAATTGACTGTTCCAAGCTGGGAAATTATTTGACGTCTTTTGTCAATTTTAGAAATAAAATAAATTGTGCGTGTACTAGGTGTACACACGTAAGAAGTGAAACTTCTTTATGATCTTATTTTTCGAAAAATGATCTACTATATGCAACTTTACAGAAATTCGTTAAATTAGATAAAGTTTAACAAAAGGCTTTTATTATCATAGACATGAATACAAATATTTCATTTTACCTTAATACTACGAAGATTATTATAGAATTTCATTAATTGTAATAGAATTATTACTATCATTGAAAAACGTGACGATTTGCTACAAAATTTCTCCCATACATCGATAAAGAAGTTTTATTCCAACGCCGATAAAGAAGTTTGACTTCAAAAAGCAACATGGCGCGTAACCGAAAAATGTGACGCGTAACGAAAAAATGTTACACTAAATTTTTTTCCATCCTCGATAAAGAAGTTTCACTTCAATAAATAATAAATAATGTGACGGTAATTTTTTTTCCAACGCCGATAAAGAAGTTTGACTTCAAAAAGGAACATGGCGCGTAACCAAAAAACGTGACGCGTAACGAAAAAATGTTACACTAAATTTTTTCCAACCCCGATAAAGAAGTTTCACTTCAAAAATGTCACTTGGTTGTCACATAGATGCCTTCAGAAATTTGTACCTCATTGTATGAGGTCCGATCATTTTGGTTATTTAAAAAAAATTCAAATATATGTAGGTGATACGAAGTTCACCGGGTCATCTTGTAATCATATAAAGTAGTTACCTTTATAAGCTGCCATGAGCCCTAGCCCCCATATTCAATAAAGACTAGTATTTATATATAACTAGTTATATCACAAAGAATGTGACCAAATAGGATTTAAAAAGAAATCCCCACTAACTCTCAACCAGTGACCATACTATGTAAAGCTCATGTCAGGCCATATATGTTTTGGAAATTTGTAATGAATGATAAACTGTGCCTCAGCTTGCATCTATTGCTTTGACATATCGTCGATGTTTGGGTTTAAGACAACTTCCTGACCTCATTGACCGTAGGTACTCCTACGGTGGACAGTTGCATACGCGCCTCGGCGTTGAGAGCATAAACCTTAAACTTGATGAAATTTGTAGTAGTGTATTTTATTTAATAAGACATTTTTCTGAAATAATAATTATCAGGTGTGGAGCGCTCCGCCGCCAAGCGTCATGGTGTCAGCGACGTACGCAGCCGGCAAAGCGATGGGTGCGCGCGTAGCGGTCACGTGCGTGCCCGTACTCGCACTGCATAACGCCTTCTCCTTTTTGTCCATCAGCGGACTACGCTTTGACGAGTGAAACGGTATAACCACCTATTTACTTCAATCAATTATTTATTTTAATTTTTTAAATTCTGCTGATTGTTTACAGTGTTGTCTTAAATGGGATTTATGAACGAAATACATTCTAATACTTCACACATTGATATCATGGACATTGTGTAAAATTTGTTACATTATTGTATTTTAATAAAAAAGAACTAATGAGCTTTTTAAAGAATTTATCATACATTTCATTTCAGAGAACAATGAGAATATGAATGCAGATGCTTTATCGCCGTTTTAATATATTTGCTGAATATTTTCAGTGTTTATAAAATTTTGTTAATTATGCTACCGAGTTTACTGTATTTAAGTCAAAATATATAAATTATTTTTATTGCACATTTCGTTTCATTCCCCGGATCCCCAAATAAAACAAATTTCAAATTAAATTTACTTTATTTTTTTACAAAATTGACCGAACAGTGCGAGATTTCTAGAACGTTTACACTTGCATTAAGTAGACATAAACTTTAATTATTTCTCTTACAAGTAAGTCTTATTCTGTTCAAAGCAAATACAAACGGCGTTCGCCGGACGATTCATGTCGTATAAAAATTACATGATTCTGATTTTTGATACTAAAATATTGATTAATAACGAAAGCAACTATAACTAAACATTATACAATTACGCTTATCTGTATTAGTTATCTGATCTATGAATCTAATACAAAGTATAATACATTGGGAGGATTTCACGCAGCAGAATCGGCGACAGCTAAGGGACATAAGTACAGGAGAATGACCTTACGTATATTTCGATCAGTGCGTTGAAGCCGTGCCCTGAACGCGATAAATATCGGATGTGTCTGATACAGGGCTCGGAAAGTAAGCCTATGTTTTGTACTTGTAAGCGAGACAAAGTGCTCACTAAACCAAAAAGTTAAACAGATCTCGAATTTCACGGTGTTCGTACTAAAAAAACACAAAATCTAACAAATAATATATTTCGACCGTCAGCACTTCATCTTATGCTATTTTTGTCTCAGAGTGCTTTACATTGGAACGATACGCTAAGCTTAAAATAAAAATCGACACTGTACGAAAAAACTATAATTACTCACCCCTATTAATCTAAACAAAGAAACTACGTTAAAGTCTATATACTTTTATAACAGCGTTCTGTAAAACTTAACTGAGTAATGAGTGGGATCAATTTCAAAATCAATTAAAAAATAATAAATTCCGTAAATCACAGTAACTAATAATAGCGGCCAACTTATAATTATTTTCTCGGCTAAATGATTGTATACAGATGTATCCACAATGTATAACTAAAATAAATACCTTAATGATGAAAAGAAAAGTTAAAAAAAATACTCACTGCACACTGTCTCGTCCACCATTTTGTATTTCGATTCGACAACAAATGCGTAAAGGCAGATTTTTACAGATTCGTTCGCGGAAAGGTTACACTTATTCGGTTCATAACAAAATAACGGCACACAATCTCATCCGCTAAGAGATACACTTGCAGCGAACATTAGAAAACTATTAATATTAAAAATAGTATGATTGCCCAGCTACCCATAGTGAAGTTAGTATTAAATTACTGTACATATATGTTAGTGACCTTTCACTACCGTTAACGTTACGATTACCTGCCCTAGGGCGCTATTAATAAAAGTATAATCAGATTTATGCAACTTACAACCGTATTACCGAAGCGAATAAGATACTACGTCACTATAATACACTGTCTATACACCGGCGCACTGAAGTCACTTAGCGTCCGTTCAGTCGCCGTCGTCGGGGAGGGTATCGCCTAAATCGTTGTCGGAGTCGTCCTCGTTCCTGTCGGGGCAGGAGTCCTTGCTCTGGCCTTTGCACTTCTCCATGTACTGCCGATGGGCGTACTTGTTGAAGCGGCGCTTGGCCATGAACAGAGTGGCGATAGTCCGCGGCGCGAGGCGCACTGCGGCGGCGCGAGACGTGATTCCGCCGCGACGGCATTCGCCGCACGTGTAGTCCAACACGTTTAGGCTCGACACCGTTTGCTTAACGCAATCTGCGACCAACGCATAACATTTATACCTAGCTGTGGCAGTGCAATATTCACAGGTACCTTGCAGATAATTTTCATTAATTATTCTGGTTTTAATAAGACTGACATAATGCCTGATATCTGCAAGGTAAAGTGAATGAATACACTGCCAATAGGAACACACGCAGAACACACACAAACCGCTATCTATTTGAGTTTATCGCTTTCAGTTTCAGCTTCACCTATGCACGAGGCAGATTCTTATAATAATCATGCTTTCACTGACACTTGTCTAAACACAACTAACATTAACGTTGAAGCTCCTATTTGTCAGGATTTTCATAATTCTTTCAATGCTTTTTTACGCTTGAGTGAAATGTTAATGGAAATTATGAGAGCGGTACATAAAAAGCGAAAATTGGTTAACAAGCTCAATAGACACTTGCACATGCACAATGCTGCAGGCGACATCAAACATCAAACGAGCGAATACAATTTTTTATAAATTGGATCCGTCGTTCTTTTGTTAGTTTCAGGCGTCTTGATTGCATTCACTTTCTTCATTGGGATTATTATTTATACAACGTGCGACAACCGTTAGTATATAAGATACTGGACTAAGAGTCACCAGATCAAGCACAAGTTAGGGAAATCGCCATCAAAAGTGAGAGCTATCGAAATCAAACTCTCAGTTTCGACGAGCCTCTGTCGTCAAGCAATGGTTACAGCGAGGTGAGGTGGGATAAAGCGTATGCGGTCTAGTTTCGGTGTCGTACCTTGATGCAGTTGCCTATCGCAGAGCTTACAAATGACGAGCTGCATGGTCCCCTTGGGCCCGATGAAGGAGCGCTCACAGAGCGGGCAGTAGCGCCCAATGCGGTACGCTCTATAACGTATACGTGCACGCACAATACGGACCACACGCACGCAACACCGGAACAAAAACACGCCATTAGTATACGCGCGCACACACTTTGTTACTTTCCTTCATGTTGAAATTTGACGAAGCGTTAGGTGGTAGCGAAGAATGTCGTGCTTATGAATTGAAGTTAGATGTGCTAAGTAAGACCATCAAGTTTATGCAAATAAAATTTAGAAACCAGAAATACCTTTAAAATAAGTATAGATAAGACAGGAATGTTTTTTTTTCAATTATGCGGTCACTCAAGTTGCATGGTGCAATTTATATCGGAAATAAAAAGATAAATTAAATTAGGAGTGGATAGGAAAGTAACAAAGTGATGTTAGTTAGCATTATGGATATGATGAACGCCCGTGTTAGTGAACACTGAAGATGATCCTAGTCGTCGAATCGGGGCCAATTGATGTACGAAACCTAAAATTTTGAGCTTTCCCTAGGAATAAGTAATAAAAAAAAAAAAAAAACTAGAAAAGGGTAAATATTTAACTGATGGTATCCGAATTTGTCTAATCGACCATTTCAATATAACACAAAACACATTGTGATATGTAAATATATGTATTATTATATATTAATAAATGAAAATTTGTTATAAAGAATTCATAGAATATCCAATCAACCGGTACCGCATAAGGCTGTTAAAGATTCTAAATTGTATCACAATTAATTTCGCAAATAACCAGCCAAGTCTTATCGAATACATCAATAATGAAAATATGAGACAGATTCCAGATGAGTAACATGCAACTTATGATAAAGTCTTATTCTACCAAATAATTACTACTAAAAACAAATAATTGATTTATCTTTAACGAAAGGTTTCAGAGTCTCTGCGAACATTTAAAATAGGAATTTTGTTGCAAATTATATTTTAAACCTTTTGTTAGAGAAAAATATAAAAGGTGGTTTAGGCATTATTTAGTAGAATTAGAACGGCGTGGGACTGTGCTTAAACGTTTCCGAAAATGCGGGGTCAATGCTACGAAAGTAAAGCGAATGTCGGTAATGAAAAAATATATCTAGTGCGAGTCGACGAGTAATGAACCATCGTTTGTTCGAGCCGATTCCAACGTCTAAATATATCCGATTTCATGTCTTGTTTACTTGTATTTGTACTAATTTGTCGTCGTTTGTTTACAATTTCATATCAAAGCAGTTCTTTTTATTTAAACGCTGCTCAAATTGTATTTTTTGATCCAAGTTGAAGTGAAATATATTAGTAATTAGGCTTTATCTTTGTATGTACGTGAAATCGGATACTAAGCTAAACAGTTATTGGAGACTACACAACAGTATCGCGTTTGTATGAAAATATGACGTTACAAGCGATGTGACAGCGATTCTGATTTAAAATAGTGTCTATTTATATAACCCTATTAACCTCGAGTCGGCTTATATACAAACCGAGAAACATAAGTTCTCCTTTAGGTAAAAGTATTAAACTCAACTTGAACAAACGTGAAACGTCAACTCACACTAGGCCCTCATGTTAGTCGACACCAAACAATGAGATGACACAATGACTACCAGACCAGTTAACACATAAATCATTTCGATTTAAACAAAATTATGTACTTTTTACATCGTTCCTCGTAACTTCGGTAACACTATGGGTTGGCTTTTCCCCTCTTGGTTTTACTTGAAAACAATTTTAAATTATTATTTAATAAACGCCATTTAAAAGTTAAATTCATCGATTTTCGAATTATTAAATTGGTGGTTCTTATTAAAACTGTTGAAGTCGTATAGGTCTTTTAGAATTGTGCTCATTTCAAGTGGTCAAAAGGTATAATTAATTTCGCGAGAATAATCGGATACCGGAATAAATCGCGTTTATTTATATCCTACAATTGTTTGGCTTTGAATTAAGTTCATATGCTGCGTTAGGACAGTTTAATGATTTAAATTTAAAATATGTAAAAAACGTGTTTTAATCCGGTAAAAGTGTATTTTCATTTAGAAGTCTATACAAGGATATACTAAGGAAAAAGGTAAACTACATGATAAAATATTTTTCCATGGTTTTGTAAATAATTAATTTTTTTAATACTTAATTGAAATTTCAAAAT